TTATCAAATTTTATTTAATTAAGGTGGGTTTTAACCAAAATTAAAAAAAAAGCTACATTTTTGCAATAAGTTAAAGCTAAACCATTAAATCGTTTAAACAGAACTGAAATTATGTATCAAGAATGTAAAAAAACTCTATGGTGAGTAGCTTGCATAAAAATTATAAAAAATTGTAAACTACTTTGGGTACTGTTACCATGGAAACCAAATCAATAAAAAGACTTTAAGAAAAGTTGCCTTAATAAAAGATCTTAAATTTCAAAATCTTTTCGAAATAAAATGACAACAACAAAAAAAAGAATTGATTTAGACGAAAGATTTTTGTTCATGACAACAGTTGCCATGGTAACATAGAAAAAACTGTTTTTCATAGTTGTGGGACCTAGAAGTCAAGAAAATTTAAAATACTTCGCTCAAATCAATCTATTTGACCCTTAAAATATTTTGATAAAATTTCAACATGTTCTGAAAAAGATAAATCAAGATATCGTTTCTCAAAGATAAAAATGAATAACGGTTAATATCAACTCGCAAACTTAAGATATTGGTTTTACATTTTTAAAAAAAGTTCTAATTTTTTAATGTCAAACTACAACAAATTTAATATTTTTTTTTCACTTTGGCTAAACATTAGGTTTTTAGTTTGATGCAAAACATTTTTACTTTAAATTTAGGACCATAATGTTCTATTACAACGTTGAAGTTATGGTTGCTAAGGGTGTTGTTAAGGTAAATACTTTGACTAATGTAAATTTAGAGAAAAAAAAGTAAAATAATGTATAAAATTATATATTTTTTAAAAGTGCAGAAATTTTTCTTATAAAATACATTAAAAAAAAAGTGATACTTTTCAAAAATTTTGGTTAACGCCCACCTTAAAAGTTCTTTCATTTTAAGAAAAGATTATTGTAATTATCGTAACACCAAATTGTATAAAATGCAGTCAATAAAGATAAATAATTTTACCAAATACTGGCCATCTTACTAATTTATTGGCCATTGGTAAGTAAATGGAAAATACATTGAACAGGTTAATAGAGCACTGTAAATTTGTTTATTACAATGCAATTATCTAGAAAATAAAGTAAAACTAAAAAAAAAAAAAAAAAACAGCGTAAAATCACGTGACAGGTAATTTATTCATATTAATTCATTATATACTAAATACAGATAATAAGCTTCAAAAAAAAAAAAGTAAAAAAACTTATTGCTGTAGAACATAAATCTCCTTATTTCATATCGTGGTTAATTTTTGCATATTTGATATCTGAGCAAACTTTGTTTAGCACAATTTTCCTTTTTTATTTATTAAATTCTTTTGTTTTTTAATTTTTTTTTCACGAGCTTCTTTTGCTGCTCTGTTTTCAAGTTTCGCACTGTAAGCTTCCTCTGATGTGAAAACAAAAAACTTTAAATTAGAGTCTTGAGTTAGTCTTTTTTTTATATTTATTTTGTGGTAAAGGATAAGTGAGAACTTCTGAGTTTTTGCCTGATTTAACTAGATGAAATAGCAAATAGAAAAGAAAATTTGAGATCTATTGATGTGTTGTAAGAAGCAATTTTTTAATTATTTAGATATGGGTTTCGCAAACATTCACTAATTGCATTAGAAAAATCACTTGCAATCTGAACTCCACGAAGTATCGGTGAACTATTAAAAGAAACTTTTTTAACTATTGTTGATTCAATAACTTCTACTTTTTAAAGACTTAGTTTTGTATTAATATCCAAATCCACTGAATTGTCTTGAAAAAAAAATCAACAGTTTCATTTTCTACTACAGGGAGGGTTCTTGCATAGCTTTGCTCTGATAGATCAGGCAATGATTGAAGATTGTTTATTAACGGACTCTCACATAAATTTTGAACTGGCACAATATCTGAAACTATATTATACAAGATAATTGGGATAAACTGTTCTGTCACAAGGCTGCAACCAGTTGTTGGTGTGAGCCAGAAGTTCTACAATTTCAATTTGATTCAAAATAGCCAGTTCAATCTTTTCAATGAAATTGTGCAAGTTATGTCCATCTAAAATCAAGATCTATAGTTATTCAGAACTAATATTTGGAAGAAATGTTTTTTCAAACTTAGAAGCACCTTTTTATAACCAGCCCTTTTAAGGCAGACTCCATATTGCTCCTTTTGGAGCATTTTATGTATCAAAACCATTAAGGGTGCATATAATTTTTCATTTCACTATTATATGAGGTGATATGACTTGATTTGGATATGTTGCATTTATGCAAGCTATAATAAGAACAGTCTCTTTGTTATTATTACGCTGACTTTGAGCCCGAACGAAGTGCGAATTGGCATAAGTGCTCAAAAAGAATTTGCAAATATTGGCATAAGTGCGAATTGATATAAGTACAAAAGGGACGACTGAATAAGCGCGAATTTCATAAGTGCGAAGTGGCATAAACTGCGAATGGCGTTAGTGCGAACTGGCATAAGTACGAATTGGCATAAGTGCAAACCAGCATATGTGCGAAGCAGTTACAAAAACTGGGATCAACATAAATGCAAATTGGCATAAGTACTGGCATAAGTACGTAAGTACAATGCGAACTGGCATAAGTAAATAAACTTGCAAACATTAGCATAAGTGCGAACTGGCACAAGTGGAAATCGGCATAAGTAAGAAATACTAATTTCTACTTATGCCAATATTTGCAATTTTATTCATCTTATTTATGCCAATTTGCAGTTATGCTAGTTCGCACTTATGCCAGTTTGTAACTGCTTTGCACTTATGCCAATTCGCACATATGCCAATTCATACTTATAACAATATTTGAAAATTTGTTTGGCGCACTTATGCCAGTTCGCACTTGTGCCAGTTTTTGCAACTACTTTGCACTTATGCCAGTTCGAGTTTGCACTTATGCCAGTTCGCACTTATGCCAGTTCGCACTTATGCCAGTTTGCACTTAAGCCAGTTCGCACTTATGCCAGTTCGCACTTATGCCAGTTTGCACTTAAGCCAGTTCGCACTTATGCCAGTTCGCACTTATGCCAGTTCGCACCTATGCCAGTTCGCACTTATGCCAGTTCGCACTTATGCCAATTCGCACTTATGCCAGTTCGCACTTATGCCAGTTCGCACTTATGCCAGTTCGCACTTATGCCAGTTCGCACTTATGCCAGTTCGCACTTATGCCAGTTCGCACTTATGCCAGTTCGCACTTATGCCAGTTTGCACTTATGCCAGTTTGTACTTATACCTATTTTCATAGTCATCCCTATATAAGATCTGGACTGAAATTTCCACCCAACCCACTTTTATTCCCACTCCTACCCAAGATTAATAAAGTAATTATTCAATTTTTAATGAATTTCAGGTAATTCTATGAGTCTAGTTGTCCTATCTATGTGTTTTTCTAAAAATAAACTGATTTTTTAGTGTAATTAAAAGTCACTAGCAACCTTTTAACACATATTTTTTTTAGTAAAAAATAATTGTAATTTATCTAAGCTCGTAATACCTTTTTTCTATTTTACCCTTATTTAGGTAAAAATTTAAAGCCCTGAAATATTTCAATTAACTTTTGCATATAATATGTGTGCATTTTTTCTTTATTTTTTATGAGCTTTCGATTAATACACAAATATTAATTTATAAATATACAAGTTTTTTTTAAAACTTTGTTGCTATTGCTATGTAGACCATGTTGTTTTGATGTGTAGTTATCTTAATATTGAATCTATGTCTTGAAACAAATATTTCAACATTATCAAAATATCTGCCGACTTTTATTTTAAATAGTAGACATTTGTGTCTCAAAACATTATGATAAAAAGATAAAAAGTTAAAAGATAAAAAATAAAAAATAAAAAAAAGATAAAAAGATAAAAAGATAAAAAGTTTGATAAAAAGATAAAAGTAAAAATATTTTTTTAATACATAAAAATATCATAAAAACAAAATTGTTTTTTATTATTATTAAAAAACAATTTTTTTTAAATCTAGAAATCAAATTCAGTGAATTGATTAACAATGAATCCCAATAATAATTAAATATGCAAAAAAGAAGAAAAACTTATATGTTTAAAAGGTTTAAACAAAAATTCAAATATCAGCAAACTAACTTTTATGCTTTTATGTTTCTGCAAATTGATTTAACTGGTTTATTGAAGCTATATCAAAATGTGACTCAATAGTTTTCACAAGTCAGTATGGTATTGACTGCAAACTAAATTAAGACAACATAAAACAATGTTTTATTTAGATGTCCATTAAGTAAGAATTCAGAACAATTAAACTCATCCACAAAATTACAGTTAGAAGTTCACAAAAATACTATCTTCATGCAAAAAATTATAAATTGTGACAAGTTCACTAAAGAAACCACTAAACAACAGGAGGATGTACCTCCATTTTTCAAGTCAACTTGTTTTATTTTCTATGATTCAATATCTAACATTTATTTTCAATATATGAATTTTACAATTTTTTTAAAAATAGTTAAAGTTATTATCTGGATTAAAAAATTTTCCTTTACATATTTTACATGCTATGTATATTCTTACACTTGAGATGAAGCCTGCTGTTATAACCTTTTTTTCCTGATAAAGATAAAAAGGAAATTGAAGCATGTGCTTTTATTGTTTCTGTTCGTTATGCTCCATGGTACCTCAAATCTATTCAGTTACTGATTTAGTAAATGGTAACTATATTAAAATAATAGTCATAAACAATTTGAACTTATTTGAAATAAAAATAAAATATTTACGTTTAGTCATTATCTCAAAGTATGCAAAAAGAACATTTTTTAATTAAATTAAATCCATATAATAACTTATAATACTTGTAAAGTAAAAATATATCTATAATAAATGGGTTAAAAATGCAAATAAGCAAATTTAGATGTATAACAAATTATTTTTAGTTTTAACTGTTTTAAGAAAAAACTCATTAATATTTATGACATTATGATGCCTTGTTGGAACTGATGTTTATTAAAAAATCTTAAAGTTGTTTTTTCTAAATATTTTCAGAAATTTTATCTGAAAAAGTAGAAAGTCTTCTTGTTCGTGCTCACAACCATGTCAACAAATATAACATCAAGCTTAAAAAGGTAAATATATTGAATAAATTGAATTAATGTATAAAACACTTAAAGATACTCAAATATTTTCAAAATAATATGTAATTTTTTTAGGTCAACTGTGATTTTAAAAAAGATCGTAATACAAAATGCAGGCTACTGAAAAATGAACCTTTGGTTTATGTTTATATGTAGGGGTTATTTTCAATTAATTATTATATATATATATTATAATAATTATATGAAATATAATTATTATAATATATATATATAATATATATTTCAATTAATTATTATATATATATATTATAATATATATATATATATATATATATATATATATATATATATATATATATATATATATATATATATATATATATATATATGTATATATATATATATATATATATATATATATATATATATATACATATATATATATATATATATATATATATATATATATATATATATATATATATGTATATATATATATGTATATGTATATGTATATCTATATCTATATCTATATATATATATATATATATATATATATATATATATATATATATATATATATATATATATATATATATATATATATATATATATATACTATATATATATATATATATATATATATATATATATATATATATATATATATATATATATATATATATATATATATATATATATATATATATATATATATATATATATATATATATGAATATAGTTTGAAAATGTTATTTTCTAGCCAGTGAAATTTAAAATAATAATTTTTTGACCCCACATGATATACTTTTGAAGAACTATTTTTTTGATAATTATAGGGATCTGATGTTTAAGGGTCTTGAGCTGTACCCCTATAAATATATATATTTTTTTAATTTTTTAATTCTAGTATTATTTTATTATATAGAACACATTTTGAGTGGTTAAACAGACATTATAAAAAAAGTTGTTTTAAGGATCACCCTAATATATATATATATATATATATATATATATATATATATATATATATATATATATATATATATATATATATATATATATATATATATATATATATATATATATATATATATATATATATAGGCCTCGGCGGGAACAAATGAACACGAGAGATGAGAAAAGCTCTCCTAAAACGAATTTGGGCAGCTGTGCAAGCTGCTCCTCATATAAATTAGCACTCTTTTGTAATTTTAATTATACCTTCATGAGAAAAATTATACTTTTGCGAGAGCGGTAAATTGCTCCTGTAAACTGTTTTAGGGGAGTGTGGGCGAGAGCTAAAGCTCTCGCTTCCCGCCGAGGCCTGTATATATATATATATATATATATATATATATATATATATATATATATATATGTATATATATATATATATATATATATATATATATATATATATATATACACACTGCTCTAAATGAGCTAGCGTCTCTTGTGCCATCTACTAAAATTTATTCTGGTGTTACTTGTCATTTAATCAAGTCTCATCCTTTTTCTGTGACTGTTCCTAAATGCTCCAAAAACTTTTATTCCTTTAGTTTTTTTCCTTAAACATAAGTTCTTCGGAATTCACTTCCTTCATCTTGTTTTCCTGATTAATATAATTTGCAATCTTTTAAGTTGTCTGTCAGTCGTTATCTTGCTCTACAATCTTCATTTTTTCTCTTCCAGTAACTTCCAATTCTAATAGTGGTTGCTTGCAGCCTTGTTGGAAGCGAAGATGGTAATATATATATACATATATATATATATATATATATATATATATATATATATATATATATATATATATATATATATATATATATATATATATATATATATATATATATATATATATATATATATATATGTATATATATATATATATATATATATATATATATAGTATGTGACAAAATTGTCACATACTGTATATATATATAAATTTCTTATTAAAAAGTTGTCAAACCAATAATGGCTTCTTGATCTTCTATCTGAATCAAAAACCAATTCTTTTGAGTTCTTGATTAACTGTCCAAACTGAAGCATGAGTCCCATAGCTGTTATTCATTAAATTTTGAACATACTTTGTAGTTTTAGACTCTCCAGAAACAATTAGATTGGTGTAAAACTTTACACCAATCTAATTGTTTCTGGATTCACCAATCTAATTTTCTCTACCACTTTAGCGTTGTAAATCTTTGTGCAATTTGATTTTATATATGAGATTATGAGACCTAAATTCAGCGACGATTTTACGATAAGATTTTCCAGATTTAAGCCTTTCCTCAATATTTTTTTTTAGTTCAAGATTTATTTTTGTCATGATAATAGTAATATTTAATAATTCATGTTCTGTAAACAAAAACTTTAAATTATCTTTAATCATCTAAAATCTCTGGATAGTTGATAAATCAATTCTATTCTTCTTTAATGACGAATTCTTATTTAGTGGTTTATTCTATTATTCTTAAGGCTATTAATTTATATTGTATGTGTAATTAACTATAGACAATTACATTAATTGCTTTCATTTCACTCATGGGTGTGATCTTATTACTTCTATTTCACTCATGGGTGTGATCTTATTACCTCTATTTCACTCATGGGTGTGATTTTATTACCTCTATTTCACTCATGGGTGTGATCTTTCACTCATGGGTGTGATCTTATCACCTCTCCCAAGGATAAGACTAAGCTATTTGCAAAAAACTTTTCTTCAAATTCAACTCTTGAATCTCATAGCCATACTCTTACTGCAATCCCAGTTAAACAGGTTAACCCTTTGTTTTACACCCAAAATACTCCAACTTCCGCAGCTTAAGTCATATCTCAATTAAACTTTTCTATGGCTTTTTATTTTTATTTTTATTATGTTAATTTTTCTTTTCAAGGCAGAGAAAAACCATTACAGCCAAGTAGGCTGCTTAAATTGTGGTAACAACCCTCTATCAACTCTATAACTCCAAAAAACAAATCATGAACAAAGCCACTACGCAGAGAAAAAAGTTAAGCAAGTTACTACCAAGGACATTGTGGGGATCAAACTTAAAACTTCTTGCTTATAAATCAAGCGCTCTAACACTACACTACTACCACATTTTGGTCCAGACAACATTCCTATCATAGTCTTGCAAAAACTTCCAGAGTTCTCTTTAGTTCTCTCTAAACTATTTAATAAGTTCATGACTAAATCTTTTTTCCTGCCTGCTAGAATTTGGCATCTGTGATTCCAATTTTTAAAACTTTGGAGAAATTTTGATTCTTTCTACTATCTTTTAATCAGTCTTCTCTTTATTAGCAAATTCTTTGAGAGTTTAATCAACAAGTTTCTAACATCCCATCTTCTGAAAATCCTATATTGTTATCAATCTCCTTGTTCTACGGCTGACTTGCTAATTGCTGTGACAGAAAAATTCTATCATACATTAGATGGGGCTGACAATGCAAGGGGCATTGCTCTTAAGTTAATCTTAAGTTTTCAATAAAGTTTGGTCTAAGCACCACCGAATAATTGTGTTTTTATTAAAAGAAAAGCAAATAGTAATTTGTTAAACTTTGCTTAACGAATAGTACTATTTGCTTATTGAATAGTTTTTTATAAATTGGCTTAACAAATAGTACTATTGGCTTAACAAATAATACTATTTGCTAAACAAATAGTATAATTCAATAAGCAAATAGTTATATTCTGTTAACTTAAATTTCTTATTAAAAAGTTGTCAAACTTTTATTCTGTTGCTGTTTATTTTGATTACAAAGCTTAATTAGCATAATTAGTAAGCATAATTTAACATATTTATAAATTTTCTCTTTTTTAAATATTATCTTTACTTATTATATTTGTAAATAAGTACATTTTATGTAATTGTCATTCAAAGTTTTGTAACTTTGTGTGGTTTTTAAAATTATTAATAAATATCTTTAAATATATTTGAATAGCACAAAGCAAAATAGTTTTTAGTTTACATTTATGCAAAATGAGTAATGCTTTAAAATATGGTGTGTATATTTATTTATATATGTATATATATTCTATTTTTATTAGGAATGGAGTGGAAAAACATTTGACAAAATCTGAGTTAAATGGCACAGATAGAGCCATCAATGAAATACTCTTGTATGTAAATTTTTGTTGATTTTTTTAAGTTGTCTTGGCTTTTTGTATATTTACATTTTTACATTTTTCTTTAGCATCATTGCATCAACCAACTATGAAAAACTGATATATTGTCCAAGTATGGATAAAGCATATGAAATTGTTGATATGTCCAGGAAAGTTTTTAACGTAATAGTTGGTGCTTTTCAAAACTTAAATGGAGAAGGTAAATATTTTGGATATAATTATTAACTTTGAAATATTTTATTTATGGTTGTTAACTCAAAGTTAAAGATTATAGTTTGGTATTTCCATTTTCAATTACTGGGTAAATTTTAAAATTGTAGGTAATATAAACATCTTATTAAATTTTATTGGTATTTTCCAATTGATGAATGTAAACTTCATCTGCTTTCGAAAACAAAGAACACATATTGACCAATCAAAGCAATAATTTCTTCACATATTGACTAATGCAACACAGCAGTAAATCTTTTTCTCTGCAGAAGTCACTGCGTCATTCTTTATCTTTCCTTTTGATATTATTTTATTTCCTTTTGATTCTAATGTATTGTAAAACTTTTTTTCCTTAACCTGATTATACTCTGCAGCTCCCTAAAACAGCTTCTGACTTACAAATGGAAAGATTTGGGTATCCTAATAAAAAACTTGTCATCCATGTAAGACAAGCTTTTTTTCTATTTCTGACTAAAAGAAGCATTAATTTGCATTTTTAGTAAAAAAATGAACCTGATATCATTTGTTGTTAAGCTTTCATGTTAGGAAAAATAGTTAATTGTACTTCTTGTTTATTATTCAATGTATTCTTTTGACCTAAATGATTAGCCATACCTATGCCATTTCCAGCTTTCTTGAAATTCTTAATAAGGTAGATTTCGAAATGCCATTGTTTAATGCAACACTAACATGTGTTAAAAAAGTTGTTTTCATTGTACAGTTGGTCTGTAAACCAATGGTCTGCCCAGCCATACGATATAAATTGACATCTCTGCAGAACTGTCCTTGTTGAAGAAATTAAAATGAAAGCTTTGTATAACTTTGGAATTCCACCTTGCATTGCTGATGTTGGATATTTTCTGAAACCTTATCAATGGAAAATGTCCCTTTTCCTCAAAAAATCTCAACACTTGAGTGAGATGAAACAAAATTTCAAATCATTTCTCCAGCCTGATGTTTCAAGAATTACTTCTGTTCCGTTATCAAACTGTGTTTTCAGTTGTTCGTACTCCTTCAACATTCGAGATGCAAATGGATATTCGATGTTTGGCAATTGTGTTTTACTTTCAAGTTCTTCATCCATCACCAAACAGAGGCTTCTGTCTAATACATGGTGTTGACAACTGATAAACTGAGGTTTGTTGATGCATTTCTCTGTGAACATTCGTTGCAATATTACAACACCATTCTTTTTTCCAGTTTTAACGCTGGTGGTATCTGCATCAATCATCTGTATTAAATTCCATAGGTGAAATTCATCAAGGACTTTAGAAATTCCTTGAGCAATAGTTAAAGCCCTGCCATCTACCAAGCCAAGGACATTCAATTTGATTTCTCTTCTTTCATTTTTAAGAATGACCACTTGATAATCCATTCTGACAATGTGCTTGCCATCAAAGTGTAAGGACCAATTTTTTATAGGCAACTTTTCAATCATTTCTTCCTTAAGCTTGATTGCCTCTTTGATTGTTGACTTGTAAATAGCTGATTGACATCCCAACATGGAGTTGGGATGTCAATCAGCTATTAACAAGTCAACAATGACAGTGGGATGTTATGATAGTGGGATGTTATGACAGTGAGATGTCATGACAGTGGGATATCATGACAGTGGGATGTCATGACAGTTGGATGTCATGACAGTGGGATGTCATGACAGTAGAATGTCATGACAGTGGGATGTCATGACAGTGGGATGTCATGACAGTGGGATGTCATGACAGTGGGATGTCATGACAGTGGGATGTCATGACAGTGGGATGTCATGACAGTGGGATGTCATGACAGTAGGATGTCATGACAGTAGGATGTCATGACAGTGGGATGTCATGGATGTCGAGATGTTTGTTGATACTCTTGTTGAGGTCACCAAGTTGACTGTAATTTTGCTTTTATGGTGTTTTCTGTTTTGTGTCGGAGTTGTCTCATCTTCTTCATTGTTTTTGTATTCATTATTGTCAGCTTCAGTCAGAATCACTAAAACCAGGATAGTAAGATGATGAGTTGGATGACTCATTTGAAAGTTTTTGTCTTTTAGAGGGATGGATTGTTTCTTTACTGGCTGCTTGGCCTGTAGAGTATCCCATGTTCTTTTGCTTTCCACTTGGAGATAGTACAATTGCTTGTCCTCGGAAGATAACCATGTTCCATCCACTTTAGTAACATCAAAAATTTCATCAAGGGGTTCATAGCTTCCCCGCTTGACATGATGAATGCATCATAACATTTCAGTATTTTATTAAGTTTTGCTTGTATAACTTGATCAGATACATGAGGAAATTTCAGTTTATTTATTTCTTCCTTTGATTTTTGGTCATAGGAAATGGTAGCGTCCAATAATTTGCTTTTAAAGAGGCATTCTGCACTTTTCTTTCAGTGAATATTCTTCCAAAGGGACCATTCTTCTTTTATAAGAGTCTTCAAATTTTACCAGGTTATTGGTCCAGACATCCTTGTTCTTCTGAATGCTACTATCGCTAGGCTTGTATGACACCATGTGTTGCTTCTGTAATAACTATAAAATTAGATGAGCAGCTATATATAGTCTAAAATGTTCTAGAATGTTTTTAATTGTTCTAGAATGTTCCTAAATATTTTAAATTGTTCTAGAATGTTCAAAATTGTTCCAGAATGTTTTTAATTGTTCCAGAATGTTCTAACGTCTTCTAAAATATTATGTTATTTTCCAAAATGTTCTAAAGTTCTAAACACTTTTTATCTACACAAGTTTTAAATGATTTGCAGGAAAGCTATATATATATATATATATATATATATATATATATATATATATATATATATATATATATATATATATATATATATATATATATATATATATATATATATATATATATATATATATATATATATATATATATATATATATATATATATATATATATATATATATACATATATATATATATATATATATATATATATATATATATATATATATATATATATATATATATATATATATATATGTATGTATGTATATATATGTATATATATATTTATACATATATATATATATATATATATATATATATATATATATATATATATATATATATATATTTATATATGTATGTATGTAGACTTGTCAGCCGTCAGTAAATAGAGCATATGGCTGGCTCGCTAATACAAGTGGCTGGATAGCCAGCTAGCCGGTTGTAAACCTAGTGACGGCTGACTAATAAAAAATAAAGCTGGCTAGCCGGCTGAATATAAATTAAATACCATGTATTATTTGAAACTATTATAATTATTCAATTTATATGACAACCCTAATTAATTTACAATAAACCAATGTTATCATGTATAAAAATAATCATGTTCATATTAGTTGGATCTAGTAAACTTCTTCGAGAATTGGCAATTAATCCAGCAGTGGAAAACATGCATTCCACTTCTACACTGCTTGATGGAATGCATAAATATTCACTTGCCAGACATGCCAGATGAGGAAACTTTTTATGATTATTTTTCCAAAACTCTAGGGTCTTTTTCTTCTTCTTCTGTTGGTAGACAATTAATATAATTAATGACTTCCCTGGCTAATCTTTGATGTCCGTTTTGATCGTAATTCGGAAGCGCAGCTTTAATTTCTTGAAGCAGCAATTTCTTTGCAGTAGGATAATTTTCTACAACATAAATAACGTAAATCAGCCGTGCAAATAGTTCAATACAAACATTGCATATACTTTTAAAATTTTAATATTAAAATTTTAAAACTATATGCAACCAGCATATAGTATAGAACTTTACTTATAGTACTATAATCAAACATATCATACAACTTACTAAACTATTTTTTTTTTATCATTTATAATTTTTATTTTATTTATATCATACTTTATTTATTTCTACCTTACCATCTTTCAATAGTTTATTGTCATTGTTATGAGTTACATTGTTGACTGCTGCATGTGAATTTAAACTTTCTGTAAAACTTGATAAAGTCTCTAATAGTATATTAATTGCTTCATTATTTGGGAAGATAGACTTAACTGCTGGATCTAAGAGACATGATAATTTGGCCGTTTGTGACAGTTTTAGGCGCTGTTCTAATTTTAAGCCACAAGCCATTTTTTACTTTTTATCACAGGTAAATCATCAATATAAACCTTTAAAAGTGATGCAATTTTATGTTTGATCAATGGCAGAATAGAGAAAGAGTTCCCCCCATTCACAACTTCTGTCAAATTTTGAAAAGGTTTCATGAACTTAACAAGTTCCCTTTGCAATTATAGCTCAAACTTGTTGAGACACAGTTCTTTTTTGCCAGTTTTTTTTAAAAGTTTTTTTACACCATTATAAAGCTGATCAATAGACTCTATCATAAATAATGCACTGTTCCACCGACTACATACTTGGAGTTTTAAACTTTTATGCTGTTTAGATTTATACCTTGAATTTTCTACAAATAAATCTTTTTCTTGACAATCATCTTCACTATCTGAAATGATAGGATTGTCATTTGGGCTTGCTTGATTTGCTTGAATTGGGAACTGTTCATCAAGGTTAACAAGTTCTTTCACTTCTGCAATTTTTCTTAATTTATCATAAAGATCTACATCATCATTTGTACACAAAAATTCATTAATAAGAGTTGATTTGTTGATCAAACATGTTACAATGTTTTGACATTTCTTAAGTAATATTAAGACTTCAGGACATTTGTTGAGACCATCAGAAACCAATAGTAAGTTCAGCACATGAGCTAAGCAATGTTGAGGTTTTTCACAACCCAGTAGTCTAGAAGTCTTCATCATGTTTGCAGCACCATCATGAACATTATGCAAACGTAACTCCTCACACTGTTTGCTAAACATATCTTTAATATTATCCTTTATAAAATCTGCAATATTTTCTGCAGTGTGGTTTTCCAGCGGTACACAAGCTAAAGTAAAAACTTTTCTATCCCATTCACTTGTTATTACTGAACACTTTACACCAATAAATGATAATCTTTTGTATTTATCTGTCCAGCCATCAAACAGTAAAGAAGCAGCATTTGAGTATTTCAAAACATTCTTTACACTGGTCTTGACTGCTTTGAACATATCAATTAAAGCTCCGTATGTCAATGATGAACGTGATGGAGTGGCTATACCAAAGTTTTTTTCAAAAAATTTTACAAAACCGGTTCTTTCTACAAGATTCAGCGACAACAAATTGGTACAAAAGCAAAGTGCAATGTCACTGTTTTAATATCAAACTTTACTTTTGACGCAGATCCACTTGCACCAATTTCTTAATATATTATTTTTTTCTTCGGTAGAGATTTTATCAGTGACAATTTTGTGCACTAAAAACAAATGATTTTTCATGTTTCTACTAGAAGTTGAACGTTTTACTGAATGAATTTTAGACAAGTGCGAAGGCTTGTTATTATCCAATTTGACTTTTTCAATTTCCAAACATGGTTTGCAATAATAATTATTCTCATCTAAATTTTCACCATCTTTATTTATTAATTCTCCATAATAACTCCAAACAAGTGATGCACATTTTTTTTTAAAGGTGCTGCACAACTTAATCTTTAAATACTTTAAAGATAAACTTTCATTTGCTTCACAACGATATAAGGTTGTATTCTCTATTGATCTTTTCATATTAAAACTCTATATAAACAAGAAGAAATATACCCTGAAGATTTTTCTGGAAAGCAAGCAGGTTGTCTCGTATGCGAAGGCAAATGCTATCAAATAACAAATTGAGCCAAACAAGAGCGCAAAAAAGTATGAAGAAAATCGTTTCAGAATTAAACATACCTGATTATAGTATTAAAATAAACAAAACTATTTTACACAAATCATATTTTCAATAAAAAGAATGAAATCTTTTAATTTCTTTAGAAATCAAGGGTAAGCCGTATTTTAAACCGTATTTTTAGCGGCGGTTAGTTTTGAATTAAAGTAGCGGCTAATCGTGGCTATTAGTAAACAACTGGCGGTTACTGGCTGTTAACAAAATTGGCGGCGGCGGATGAATAGTGGCGGCTACCAAGTCTATATATATGTATATATATATATATGTGTGTGTGTGTGTGTGTGTGTGTGTGTGTGTGTGTGTGTGTGTGTGTGTGTGTGTGTGTGTAATTAAACATTAAATTTTTTATTAAATTTTTATTAAATTAGATTTACGTCATTTTCTTGAAGCTGCAATGGAGTTAGGTAAAGAATACACATTTGTTATAGTTGACATTGAATCGGTTAATAGGTATAAGTTTTAATTTAATTTTCTATGTTATTTTTGATTTCGGAAACTGTTAATTTTTAACTTTAAGCATAAAATCCAAGTGTTTGCTTTGATTTTTACATGCGCCACAAAATTAAAACTATTTTATGGTAGCTATTCATTGCCAGTTATGCTTTGAGGGTTTTATGTTTATGTTTATGTTGTAAGAGTTTTGTTTTAACAACTTTTGCTTATGATTTGAGAGTTTTATTTAAACAACTACATTTTGACAATTATGTTTCACTGTTGTTTTGTAAAAACTGGTGAAATAAACTACTGTTAATAATAAAGTTTTAGAAAAATATTGAATAAAAATGGTTACTTTTTTTTAGAAAAATGTTGAATAAACATGGTTACTTTGTGGAGTTTTATTATGCGTTAACTGCTGAACTCAATGAAAATGTTGAATCAGCTAATATTTCTCATTTTGTAAACACTAATACAAAGAATCTTATTGATGCAATTAAAACACTTGAAATGACAAAAGACCTACAAAAAACCATTGGAGAGGTAATAACAGTTTCTTTAAAAAAAACTATAGGTATCATACACAACTGTAGGTTTCATAAATTTTTTTGTTTCATAAAATCTACAGTCATACTGTAGATTTCATAAAAACAATTAAAAAACAAAAGTTTTATCAAATGTTTCAAACAAAACTATGCTATCCCCTTTTTCTTTCCATTTTTTCTCCAAAAATACATCTTTATAGAAATTGGTTAAGATCTTTAAGCTGTAACACTATGATGCTACATTGCCAACAATTTTTTTGAAAATGGTTATGTTACTTGCATAATAGGGTAAATAATAGGAAAAAAATAAGTATGTTAACTTTTTAAAATTTTTAAATATCATCTAGAGGTGTTCATTATTAAAAATATAAAACTACAAAACCTTATATTTTTTAACTCCTATTGAAAATGTAATTAAAATTCAATCAGGCTACTTTTAGGCTTTAGTTTTTCTTAAGAATATTTATTAATACAAAAAATACCAACAGAATTAAAAATAGTATAAAATATTAGTTAGTTTTGACTTCAAATAAGATGGATTTTGATTTCTGTGTTGTTCAAACAACTTAAAAAATTTGATGTTGCTCTTCATTTTGTATATTTGCAGAAATTGCCAATAAGTTTAATTTTCCTTTCGATTTCCAGAGGTAGAAAAAGTAAAAATAATTGTACTCAACTAAAAGTACTGTTACTTGAGTGAAATTTTACTCAAGTACAAGTAAAAGTTAACGATCGAAAAGTTTACTCAAGTAAAAGTAAAAAGTAGCTTATTAAAAATGTACTCAGGGTAAAAGTTACAACATTACTTTTTTAACAGCCTGTCAGATAACAAAGCTGTTGAATAAAAAAACAAAAATCACCTTGACTATTCTTTTCTAAATAAATTTTTTTTTTTTGCGCAGAAAATGTTTTTATGGTTTTGAAAAGTGGAAAGAAACCAAGCTAAAGCAGTTAAAAGTTGTTACGAGCGCGCTTAACATTTTTTCTAAAACAATTTAAAAGTGTCATTTTTTATTGAAATGAGCAAAACTCAAAAAAATAAAAAAATAAATCATAGTATTTGTGAAATTAAACAATACATAATAAATTTTTTTACTAAGTAAATGTAGTTCGTTACTTTGCACCTCTGTCAATTTCCTTGTTAATTTTAATTGTTTGACAAAATTTTCTGCAGTTTGATAATCCCCTCTTATGGATTCATCTGGAACCATTGTTAATCATTTATTATTCCTGATAAACCGAAAATTAAAAATGAAAAAACTTTGAAGAATTTAATATCGGAAATTTTATTTTCCAAATTAAAAAGGTTTTTGGTTTTGGGGTAGAAAAAGTTTCTTTGTCATCATTGTCCTGCTAAAATCTGACAATTTTTCATTAAATAAAGATAACAAGCTGGTTAATTACCAAAGGTGGTAACCAGCTTAAAAGGTTGTTGGTTAATCAATAAAATCATAGCAGTTGCCGTATCTGAGTCCTCATGATACCAATTCATTGCAAAAAAAATTTGAAGTCATTGTCTGGAGCAAATTCAGAAATCTTTGAGCAGAGAAATTGCATTGAATAAAAAAAAGGTAATAAAATTTATCAGATTAGAGTTTTAACTTTAAAAAATATATATAATTTTTTATAAATCTTACACTCTGACTTACATCTGGTTTGTGAATTTCAAATATTCTGCCCACTGATATTTTCCCCTAAGGTAGATGAAAGTTAATTTAATGAGCCTTTTCACAGAAATGTTTTCTCGTCAAGGCATTGGTAAGCTTATTTCAGATCTAAGTTTGCTTGATTAAATATTTCTGATTTGATGTAATGCAGTAAATGCATGTTTGATACGTAGCTTGTTATAATGGCAACATTCTAGCCTAAATAGAGGTTTCTAACTCAATTTTGAATAAAGTTGCTTTCCCATTTTTAACTGAGTTGCTGGCTGTTGTATCAAAGGATATACCAACAATGTTTTTTTAAAAATATTCCAATCTTGCATGAATTTCACAGCCTCATCTCATTGAATTTTACCTGTTGAATCTTTAATTAAAAGTTCAGCAATAAGTTTTGGCCTATAAATAAAAGTAACATAATTTCTTTGAAAACAATAAAAAATATACATAGTATATAAACACACAAGTACCCGCTATGAGATCTGCTTATTAGAGCTACTGCATGTTCTCCATTATGAGCTATGTTTAAATGAAAAACTTGAATCCCAGTGCAAAATGGTCTTTTTACAGTTTGTTTATCTCCCAGTCAACTATAATTGAAAAAAAATTTTTCTCCTGCGCATATTATCTTTGATGATGCACAATTGATACTGACATCATCACAGTTGATACTGACATCATCACAGTTGATACTGACATCATCACAGTTGATACTGACATAAACATATCATTAAGTTTGCCTCTGCTTTTGCAGATGATAGTGGATTAAAATATAAGCTGTTAGCGAACTAATAAACAACATTGGTCTACCACAGATGCCGCAACTTTCCTTGCTGATATTTGGAGTAAATTTTTTTAAGACATCTTTCTTTTTTATGGAGGTAAAGGAATAAACTATGTATCTTTTTAATCTTGCTTGTTAGCACTGTCAACTAATACACTGATCTTCAGTTGACATTCTCCAAAAATCCATGCTCAGTCTAGCTTATTGAGGCTCTAAACATTTAATACCTAGACTAATGCTATCTGTCATGTGACATTTTCTGCTACTCTTTTGATTTTTATAAAATGTCCAATCTTCTTTCATTTTTGTCTTTTTGACATCAGCAGCTGTTTGTATGCATTTACTGCTGAAATGTTGCAAAGTTGTTCAAGTTCATTACAAAATTTTTTTTTCGTCTTTAACATAACAATTTCACTGCTCAATTTTTTTTATTTTTACCTTTTTCAATTTTGTAAGCAATTTCAAGATAAAAGTTATCTGATTGAGTTGGTACTCCAGCTTTTTTCACACTTCCTTCAGCTCACCAAGAACTATTGTAAAAATATCCTTTGCAGTATCGCTTTTTAAATAAAAACTTGAATGAAAGTATTGTATGTTTTTTGTTGGTAGGCCATTGAAGCTTGACAAGTTTATCGGGTTCAGAGTCACCAATTAACAAATGTTGTCTATTTTTTCTGAGGTTTATCTTTATAATAAAATATTTCTAATAAACTAGTTTTAAGATTATTTGTAAAATTTCAATTTTGCTAACTGATATAACGCCCAACTTTTTTTTTATAAATTTATGAAATTTTATATACATACAGATGTTTATTTCACAATGCAAACTATCACGTTAGGTAAATCAAACTCAAAAATATATTTTGCATATAATTCAACAACTTCCTTTAAAGCTTTAAGTTTATATAGGATAGGATTTATATAGTCTATAGGAAAAAAATGTCAAAAAATAGAACTTTATAACACGGTAAACTCTAGACATTAAGCAATTTTTTTGAAAACTTGGCCAAATATTCATCTGATAACCTCTATTATATACACCAAATAACATAATATAAAATTATTTTATAAGTTATTAAAATTTAAAGTTGATAAAAGTGTGAAAAGCGCCATTTTCCAAGATGGTGACCTCTAGATGAAATTTTAAAATTCTAAAAAATTACAGATGTGTTTTTTTCACATTATTTAACCCCGTTATGCAAGTATTGAAACAATTTTTGAAAAATGGTTGGGAATAAAATACCTTACTGTAATACAGATCATAAAGTGATAAAATTTTTATTCAAGTTTATGCATTTAATTCAACTTTGACAAATGAACTTTAAAAGCTTAGAAGGCATTTTTTTGTTGATATTTTATTGTTTATAATTTACAATTATAAACAATAAAATATCAACTGTTATTGTTTACAATTTTAGTTAATATGTTGTTAATAATTAATAATAATTAAGTGTATTTAGTGTATAAGTGAAAATGATTGTATTTATAATTATTAATAATAAATGAATTATAATGGTTTGTAAAAGGGAGAAAATAAATCTATTAGTTATCAGTTTTGAAAAAAGAGCAATTATTCAACTTTCAATTACTCAGTTATCTATTGACAAATGGCAATTGTTTAATAAATCTCTTTGATCACTCAGAGTCAAATATGAAATGAAATGTAGTTAAAAAAATAAAAATAATGAGTAAAGAAAGTAAAAATAATAAAAAAAAATTGATTTGTTATAAATTCTAAAGTTATAATGAAATGCAAGAGTATCTAAAGTATTAAGTGTACTTTACATTAATAAGGTATTTTAAGCAGAAGTTTTTTCTATTTTGTCTTGGTATGCTTCATTGGTGAGCCTACCTTAGAAATTTATTTAGCTAAATTATGTCAAATAATGTTCAAGTTAAAAATACTATTTTCTTTTTTACCTCTTTTTTTTTCATTTCTCTTCATGCACAATATAATAGAGTACAAGTTATCTCTATAATATATAGAATATAGTAAATCAGTCATATAATACTACAGATTTCCTAAAGCCTTAATATAAGGAATAAAATCTAAATAATATATTGAATTTGCATGACTTTTTTTTTTTAAGAAAATCTACTATATAATATTATATAACTTTAATTTTGATTTCATAATAGATATTAACTTTGTATTAAAATTTTATAGTTATTGTTTTGAATAATTTTTTTGCTAGTTTGCCTCAAAAAAAAAAATCCAAGATGATAAATATGAAGAGCTGAAAAGAATAGAATTAATAAAAATTGAAAAACTAAAAAGAGGTGAAAGCATAAGCAATGTTATCAGGTAATTTTTTTTTTTGATAAGAAGGCTAAAGTGTTAATTTTAAAAAATATAGTCATTGTAAAAATTTATAACTATATATTAACAATTATATGGTAACAATATTTAGCAATATTGTTAACTATAGTTGATTACTACATTTTTTGAAAGTGAATAGTTTTTAAAATGTTTGTAATAACTAAATGTGGCAAAAAAATTGTAATGCCACCTGTATTAGATGGTAACAAAAAGTTAGTATAACATGTTGGCAAAAGGTTGTAACACATCTAGTATAACATAAACCTTTGTTGTAATATTTTAAGAATATAAATGCGTATCATGTTTAAATCAAATTTAATTAATTTACACCTAATATGCTTAATACAGAACAATTTTTATCCTTTTACTTATATGTATCTACCTCCCCAAGAAAATGATTGGTCACTACAATTGAGGAGGCTGCTTATCATTTCTATATTTTTTATAATTATATATTTGTATTTTTAATACTAATAATTATTAATAAATATAATTTTTATAAAGCACTTATTTCTATATTTTAATTTAGCTCTAAAGGGATGGTAAGTGAAAAACCAAAACCTGTTAAATATCCTAGTGTTCCAGGATCAAGAGAGCTAGGTACATTTTTTGATTTTATTAGAGAAACTATAAGAAAGTTATGTTGAGGTTTTCAGGAAAATAAATTAAGAGACTTGTCCAGATGCTTTTCAGTTGTATTTAATATTTAATTTTACAGCTTTATGTTCACACAGATTGTAATCAGTAGGTAACGGGAAAAAATTACTTCCTAAAACATTTGGTAATCAGTTGGTATGGGGAATACTTCAATCATATTTGCAATTTTGCAAATCAAAGCTCAATAATTTCATAAATGTTATTGGTATAAATTCTATTAGTTAAATTTTTATGTTAAAATTATTGTTATGGGTTATAGACATGTACAATTTGATTATGATAATTCATGTGGGCAAGTTATAATAATTTAAATTGTAATTTTCTAAAAAAAATCCTCATAGTCAAAAAACTGCAAAAAAGTCCAGTATAGAATTTTGGAAAGAAAAAATGTAGCAAAAAACTGGTAACCAATTAATGCTTTTCAACTTAAGTTGTTGTCTAACCCTAAACTTTTTTTATTCAAAATCCCACAGTATTTTGTAGGAGTATTTGACTTGAGCTAATTAGAATGTTACTAGATTGTAACACTCAGGCTAGCTGTGTCAAAAGAAAGAGGAGGTCATAAAAACAATATAGTGAGAGTATTTATGTTCTTATTTATTCAAATTGCTAGGTAAATTTTAAAAGAATGTCTGCATATAAAACATAAATTTAAAAGAATGTAAACTTTGAACTTTATTTTTAGTTTTACAATAAAATATTTTACTCTTTATTCATAATGATGTTACTAATATTATCACTTAATTCACTTGCATAGTAAGCTCTGTCAACATTTAACTCTAACACTTGCATAATAAAATCTGTCAATATTTAATTCTAAAACTTGCATAATAAGCTCTTTCAACATTTAGCTCTAACAGTTGCATAATAAGCTCTGTCAACATTTATTCTAACATATTTGTGCAGTTTAAAACAGAACTTTAGTAACCTTGCTTTGCATTTACATCATAAGCAGTAAGTTTGTACATATTACTCATTTCCTTCTTAAAAATTATTGCTTAATGCATTTTTAAGATAAAACATTAAGTCTTTTTTAATCTCATTGTTCTTCAACTTATCTTTTCTCATTTTATTTTGTTTGCTGCAAATACTTTTGGTTCTTGTTCAAAAGTCTGTATTATAAACAAGAATTTTATTGCACAAATCAATTTGTCTCAAATGTGTTTAAGTCTAGATTAAACATGGTAAAAAAATATTAAATGACAATTTTACAGGTTAGCTTAAAAGAAGAAATCATACAGTTTTCTCTAATTTAACTCTGTACTCTCTTTTGTAGCTTTTCTAAAGCAGTAGAAAACAGGAAAAACAGGAAAGCTTTACTGCATTTTTTCACCATCACTTTCTTTTTATTATGTTCCTTTTATTGTTGTCAAATAAAAATATAAACACATATTTTTCTTTTAAGAATTGTAAACAACCTTTTGACTGATTCTAAATTAGCAATCAATAGGTTTATTTTGATTAATTTTTTGAGAATATTCAAATTTGCAAGTGATTTTAGAATCTTTTAATGTCCTTATTTTTTTTTTGTCTTTGCATACTTCTTCTTTGTTTTAATATAATTGTTTTAATATAATGTTTTAATATAATTGTTTTAATATAATGTTTTAATATAATTGTTTTAATATAATGTTGCCCAATTTATTCTGGACAATAAAAGTCTAACATGAACGTAATTTTAGCACTAGTTATTGGTTGCTACTATTTGTTGGTAGTATTGGTTGCTACTATTTGTTGTTATTCCAAGTATTTGTTTATAGTAGGGGTAAACAGCTTTAATAAATATGTGTTTTAGCTACAGAACACTAAGTCATAGTTGTCTGTTTTATCTCCTTAACCCTACATATAATTAATAATTAAAAACATTGTTTTCTTTTTTTAGTTACAAAGAAACATGAAGATAATGAAATAGCACAAGCTACATATATGTTGCGAGAAAAAAAAATTCTTAACACATATAAAAATCATCAAATAACAGAACAACAACTGAAAAAATATCTTGGTGGTGTTCAAAAAAATCCTGGATCATTGTTATTAGTTTTGTTTTATGTTCCATGTAATATTTTTTATATTTTATAAATTTTTGAGTAATACAATGAAATCACTGGTCAAACACTGTTTAACTTGAACATTTCACGAATTGTTTTATTTGGTCCCTTTGTTTAATTGATTACTATTGAAATTCTGTGATTAAGTTGAACCTTGGATAACTCAAACTTTTAACGAAAAGTATGACCATTTTTTCGTCCCCTTTCAGTAAACTTCTTCAGATAATTCAAACTTTTTGTATGGGAAATAAAAAAGTTAAAATAACTTGATTAAATTTTTTTTAAAAAAGTCATTTCATATAAAGCATAAATGTTTTTTTTTTTTTTTTTTTTGATATTATGAAGACCCCATAAGTTTCTTGGGAATTAAAAATAGGTATTTTAATAATTGACTATATTTAAATTAATAAAAAAGCATAATTTTTTTCTCTTTTTTCTGTTCTAATTAGATCTCATTAGAATAGATCGTTGTCACACATAAAACAATGCTATAATAAAACTGTTACAAAATAAATCATAATAAAATGTTATTAAAAAACCAAATAATTTATAGTTTTAATAAATTTCTTAATATAAGATTGCTAGCTTTTAGTAAAGTGATTTTGTTTCTAAACTTTTTTGAATGTTATTTTTTGAGTGGACAGCATGAATATGAAACATAACTTTGTTCATTGAAACATTTTCATGGTTTTATTAATATAATGGTGTATATTTAATGTTTATACTTCAAATTAAGAAAAATTACCTTAACTTGAACTCATTTCAGCCAAAGTTTGATCAACAGGAATTAGCGGGAACAGGAAAGTCATATCATTTTTCTTGGTCCCATAATTTTTTCGAGTTATTGGGAATTAACTGTGTTATTTTCTTACTATTTTCACCTGAAATTATGTTTATAAATTATGTATATGCTTACAATGCATCTTTAATATTTTTTTTTTATTTATGTTATTATACAGTATACTTATTCTGGTCTGTTTAATGACTGTAGACTTTTAACACCAAGACTTTTCTTAGAATTTTCTTTTCACAGTAGCATAGTTTAATTTTAAACATGGCTCCCACTATCCAAGTTATGTATAAAGTATAAATGACCAGTATAATATAATGATATATAAATAATCATATAATGTATAATATAATGATATATAAATATGTATAAGATATATAAATTTGTATATATACAGTATATCTTTATGGAAATTTAATTTGGAAAACATATATGGTGTTTGTTTTTATGTCTGAATTTTACAATTTCTCAGAAACATTTTAAAATTTTTAAAAGGGTTTTTAAAATCTTTTGCAAATATTCATTTTATTTTAAGCTCAACATGTAATAATAATGTAAAATTTATTATACATATAATAAAATAATTTAATAAATATAATTTAATAAATATAATTGGTGTTTAGGGGATCCTATCTATGAAAGCTTTGAGGAAAATTTCGTTATTTTAGCAAATGAGTATAGTAAGTTTAAAGTTATATTTTATATAAATATATAACTATATTTAAATAAAATATATTATATAAAAATTTTTTATATAAATATATACCTGTTTCAAATACTTCATTAAAACAATTTTTAGAACATGTTTAACTTTTTCTCTAGAGAATCAAAATCGTATCAATTTGGTTCAATTAGATTGTACTTCATGGCCTACTTCTTGTTTGGAACATCAAATCAACTCATATCCCAGAATCCTTGCTTTTAAGTAGGACTCAATAAAATTTAATTAGTCTTAAAATATATCTTTTTCTATGCAGCACAATTCATATTAGAGTTTAATAATTCCATTTTAATAAAAATATGCTTATAATTACCATATGTAAAAAATACTTATAACTTTTTTCTGTCTCAGAAATGGTATCGAATCACCCATTTTATACAGAGGGATGTTGCATAAAGAGGAGTTGAAAAATCACATAATGCTGTAAGTGAATTTATTTGTTATCATGTTTCATATATTGCAACCACTTTTTAAATATATTTTCTTTAGTTGGAACGAAGACTTTCTACCAGTTATAACAGAAACAAGACAGTTAGAGGAGCTTTCACGTGAAATATCTGTTATGTTTATAATGGGAGTTTTTAATGAAAAAACTGACCCCCTGGTTATGTCTGCATTTAAAAAAACAGCAATTGAGTATTTTGGAAAGGTTCGAATTGGCATTTTCAAGTTAAAAGAGAAAAGGTTTGTAATGAAAATTATTTATAAATAAAATAAAATGTCAAAAATCAACTTTATACTTGGTTCATTGCATTATCAGGTTTTTTTTTAATTAACACAAAATATAAATTTTCCTGTTGAAAATTGATATGATAAATAACATGTAGTGAAGTCTGGGTGTAACTCTTGCAATAGTTAAAATAAAATCAAAGAAATCACTCTGGAGAAGTTTGCAACAGGTAAAGTTGTAACAAAACTTTTTTCCAGCTTTAAATTGCTGTTTTAATATACATATATAGGTATTTCTGTATGCTTCCTCTTTAATTCAGTATTTCTTTCCAGGATCCTGTTTTCGTTAGGAATCTTACAACCACTTGGAAAAATTCTTAAGTTAAAAGTCTAGAAAATAAGAGCATTCCATATAGACGTAAGGTTAATGGAATTGCATCTGATTTTAAATGTGTTTAAACTAGTATCAATAGCTGCATTAAATTAAGATGTTTGACAATCAGTAACATATGATAGAGCATAATCTACATCTGAACATACTTTCTTATTACATGGGGATACTCCTGCCACTACAATTTTATTCGTGACAAATCATTTTTTTTTCTGAGCTATTTCTTGTCCATGAATCTTTTGCATCCGTGAATATTGAGCATTATTTTAGCATTTTTAACGAACCCTGTGTTAGATCTACCTAGAGATCTAACACAGAGTTCGTTTTTTTAGACTTTACATACCAAAAAGAGTTGTTCATTTAAGATTCACTCCTCATTCATCCAGATTTTCAATGGGAGTTTTGGATCAAAAATCCTCTTAACTGTAACACGTCCAACCAAAAATTTAAAGTTGTAAGCTTTTTTCTTTTACTATGATACAATCCAAAATAACTATCAAAATTTATTGAAATATTTAAAGTTTTTTTTTTTTTAAAGCTATTTTTTGTTCAAAAGTAAAATTTGTTTTTACATTCCCATTATCAAATCAACAGCTTTTTTACTCAAGAAAAGTTGTGTTTTGGATACTAAGTTTTTTGTCTTTGCTCAAATTAATTTTACTTTTTCAATGTTGAAATTTTTTGCTGCCTCTTCTATGACTGTTTTGACTACTGGCTTTTAAAAGTTAAAAAGTGTTACACTTTCACATTTTATGTACAAAATAACGATTTTACCTACGTGTAAAAAAACATTTTCATCGCAATTGTGAAATTGTTTTTTTTTTTTTTTTTTTGATAAAAAATAGATAGTTAAATAAATTTTTTTCTACTATCCTTTTTTTAAAAATTTAAATTTATTTTATTATATTTCAATTAAATTTATTATTATTTATTAATAAGTTTAAATTTATTATATTAAATTTAATTTTTTTAAAAATTTAAAAAGCTGCTTTAAACTTTTTTTTTTTTTTACTTTTAAAATTTCCAAACTATATTAAAGAATATTCTTTTTATCAAAAATAATTTAAGTTCATCAAATGAAATTTATGAGAAGATGATTTTTTTTTTTAATTTTGAAGTTTTCAATAAAAGTTTAGTCATTATTAAAAGTCATTATTATTCATCTTTTTAATTGATCATCAATCAGAATAAGTTTATTAGATAAAAGATTAAAGAAAGTGTGTATATATATATATATATATATATATATATATATATATATATATATATATATATATATATATATATATATGTATGCGTTATTAAAATAAAATAAAATAAAATATTTGTCACACATGATGCGATAAGATTAACTAGTTTATGAGTAGTAAGCATAATAAAATCATAGTTTTACATACATACATATGTATGTACATACATACATACATACATACATACATACATACATGTATGCATATGTATGTACATACATACATACATACATATATGCGGTAGTGGTGTAGTGGTAGAGCGCTTGCTTCATAAACGAGTGGTTCCGAGTTCAATCCCCACCACGTCCCTGGTAGTACCGCGCTCAACTTGTTTCTCCGCGCAGCGGCCTTGTTCGTCAAGGTTCGTGTTTCGGAGTTATAGAGTTGAGAGAGGGTTATAACCACAAATAAGTAGCCTTCTCGTCTGTAGTGGCCTTCTTGGCCTTGAGGAGGTGAATTAAAATAAAAAAAAATAAATAAAAAAAAAACATACATACATACATACATACATACATATGTATGTACACATACATACATACATACATACATACATACATACATACATACATACATACATACATACATACATACATACATACATACATACATACATACATACATACATACATACATACATTCATACATATGTATGTACATACATACATACATGCATACATACATACATATGTATGTACATACATACATTCATACATACATACATACATACATACATACATACATACATACATACATACATACATACATACATACATACATACATACATAAATACATACATACATACATACATACATACATACATACATACATACATACATACATACATACATACATACATACATATGTATGTACATACATACGTACATACATACATACATACATACATACATACATACATACATACATACATACATACATACATACATACATACATACATACATACATATGTATGTATGTACATACATACGTACATACATACATACATACATACATACATACATACATACTTTTTTTTTTGTTAAAGAAAAGTCTTATTCAATAAATATATTATTAACAGCACTCTAACATTTCAACAAATGCAAATAAATGTTCCTTCAATGATATCTATTAATGCAAATGAAGCTAGGAACCGAATTGAAAAATCAACAGAATTTACTTATGAAAAAATACCGTCATGGATTGAAACGCAAAGACAACAAGATGTTGTTAGTAGTATTTTTTTATATACATATTCAAAAAAAAATTTTACAATTAAAATGTCTAAGTTATTTATTTTCAAGCAAATATTTTCAATTCAACTTTCTTGCTGTTTTTTCATTTCTCTTTAATTTTTGTTTAGGAAGAATTAACCTATTTGAGTTTACCTAGAATACTTGCACTAAAAAAGCCAATATTTATATCATTTCGATCTGCTGATCGTGATAGATCTTTATTAGCTAAGTTAGCCAAGCAAAACAGAAATATTACTACAGTTTGGATGAATATGTAAGTTTTAACAGAAATTAAATAGTTTTACAGTTCTTATAATACAGGTAATATAAGTTAGATGTAATAAAATGTTATAACGTAAGGTATTTAATATATAAGTTTTATATATTATTTTTTAAATTTGTTTAATGCAATTAAACTTTAAAGATTATATATTTTAGTGATCTTGATATAACCAAAAAAATTCATCAAAGTTATAATCTTCAGCAAAAAGAAGCATTAATACTTCTCAGAAAAGAATCAGTAAGTCAATATTGAATCAGTAAGTCAATATTGAATCAGTAAGTCAATATTGAATAGTTTTTTTTTTTTTTTTTTAGTTTATAAGTAATACTTTTTATGCAGTATTGCAAAATTAAGTTTTTTAATTCTTATTTCTTATTTGCTCAAATTTACCGGGTTTTTTTTTTATTTTTCCATATCACAAAATCTTCAAGCTTCTGATTCTGTAGAGTTGGTAGTAAAATTAATCGTCATTTAAGTCTCATCATTTTACTTTGACTGTTACTGGGTGCTCTAAAAATTCTTCTTTATCTAGTTCAACATCAGTAGAACATCAGTTCTTTGGAATCGCTCCCTTAGTCTTGTTTTCCTTAAAAAAATTTAATATAAGTTTTTATAATCATTTTATAATCCTGATTTATAAATTTCATCTTTTCTTTTCCAGTAACTTCCAACTCTAATAGTGGTTGCTTGCAGCCTTGTTAGTAGTGAAGATGTTTCAAAAATATATATATATATATATATATATATATATATATATATATATATATATATATATATATATATATATATATATATATATATATATATAACACTTATAACACTTTCAAGTCAATGCTATCTTTAGCAACATTTTAAAAATATTTTTAAAATTAATCTAAAATGTTATTTACAAAGCCTAATTTGGCTTCTTTTGAATTAAAGTAAAAAACTTAAGTAAGTTCACATTATTATTCTATTATTATTTATTTTACATTATTTCACAATATTTCACTATAATACATGAATATAATAAAAATGGTTTGGAAAAAATTTATAAATGAAAAAATATCTTTAAATAAATGTAGAAAAATGAGTTTTGTTACAAAAAAGTTCAAGTTTATTAAGGAAAAAAAAAAAAACTACACTATATAAAAAAACCCGCAAAATCTTTATGTTTTATTTATAACAGAAACTCCTCATTTCAATTCTATTTCAAGGTTAAAATTATGATGTCATATAAATGTAAATCAACATTGATTAAAAATGTGAACTTTTGACATTTAAAAAAGTGCACAAACTTGTGAAAAAGAACTTCAATTTGTAGAAAGTTTCAAGAGCATTTTAATTAACTAAGGCTACTCCGAAAACTAAATAAAGGTGATCTTTGTTTCTTTGTCTTTTCTCAACCAAATTTTTTCTCAACCAAGTTTTTTCTCAACCAAATTTTTTCTCAACCAAATTTTTTCTCTACCAAATTTTTTCTCTACCAAATTTTTTCTCTACCAAATTTTTTCTCAGCCAAATTTTTTCTCAACCACACACTAGTTAATTTTTGATTAACAAAATTTGTTAATCAAAATCAGTTTGATTTACAAAATCAAAAAACTGAAGCTCAGTGAACATCATTTTGTTATAAACAAATAGAAAGAAGTTCATCAACAAGAGCCTCATAAAGAATGCTGGCAGTTCTTGTTTTGGTTTGAAATCATATATATTTTTTTTTAATTACTGTAAAAGCTCATGTCAGTTAAAGGATATGATTTGTTACACATCTTTTATTGAATGGCTTTTTTCCATTCATTGGTTTTTCAATTGTGTTAAGTGAATAGGCAACAAAAGCGTTGAATTTAAAGTTCACTAGTAACACATCCTACTCAGTTCACTAGTAACACAATCTACTCAGTTCACTAGTAAGACATCCTACTCAGTTCACTAGTAACACATCCTACTCAGTTCACTAGTAGCACACCCTATTTAGTTCACTAGTAACACATCCTACTCAGTTCACTAGTAACATCCTACTCAGATTATGGATCAAAGCATTTTTGACTACAACAGAAAATAATTTTTGCATATAAAGAAACTTTTTAACTTTAATCACATGGCATCTTAACTAATTAAAAAGCAGCCCTTAGTGGCATTAAGTGGCAACTAGAAATAATATCAACCAACTTAATGGGAAAATGAAATACTATTAGTAATAAAAAAACATCATACAATTTCTCAATTTACTTTTATTATATCTTATAACCACAAACTAAATTTCCTATTTGATTTCTTCACTCTTTTCTTTTTCAGAAATTCCATATTTAGTTTTGGCTAAATATGGAGTTTTTGCTAAACAGTAATATAACTTAGAATGTAATATAACTTAGAAAGTAATATAACTTTTTTTAAAAAAGAGTAGTTTTTCCAACTGCAATGGTCTCTTACGTTGAATGGCCGATCTTGACTACAATTCTCAGGTCTAAGATTAGATTAAGATTGTCTTCTTAAAATCAGCAAGATCAACTTGTCCTCTTTGGTTATAAATTATAATAAAACAGACTTCGATTCTTTTATGCACAGGTTTCCTTGAGTTTTTAATACACCTCTCAATTTGCTTATAAAGTTCTTAACAAATGTTAATGTTATATTACTTTAATTTTCACATAATAATAATGTCATAGAGAAGTGAAATTATTGTACTCAGACTTTATATTTTCAATATTTTCATCATTTTTTTCCATTGTCTCTTATATTTTTTCACTTCAGTTAACATTTTATAGTTTAAAATTAAAACAAATTTAAAAATATTAAATATCAGACTATCAAATCTTGATATAACTTTGTTTTGTATATTTTGCATATCCAGCAACATTAGTGCCAAATTTGCTAAAATAGTCAAAATTTTACTGATTTAACAAAATCTTAAAGTGTGAAAATTTTGCATACATAAATGCGTGTTTTGATAACATCTCTGATGTCACAATAAAATACCCTGCTGCTGGGGGCTATAGTACATACATTGACTTTTTTATAGACTGCTGCCCCAATTGAGTGTCACTACATCAAATGAGGGTAACAATTTATTGTCTAAATAAGCTATAATAGATACATACATACATATATTCATACATACATACATACATACATACATACATACATACATACATACATACATACATACATACATACGTACATACAAACATACATACATATTAACCATTTTAAGTTATATCTTACATAAAAATATCTTATAAAAATAAATAATATAAGCAAAGATGGTGTGCTTGATATTATTTGTTTAAAATTTGTTTGTTGCTGTAATTAATTAAAAGCAATGCAAATACATTGTCTTTATTGTGTCAACATACATAAAAGTTTATACTTTTAAAATAAGATAAATTAGTGTGAACAGATTTGTTATTATTATTCATTACTATTGTGATTGTTTAATACTTTTTGCTACTATGAAGTAATAAACAATAGTAAATAATAATGATAAATAAGTAATAACAGTAACATTCACTAAAATATTAAATTTTTGTTTTATACTTATTTTAAACATTTATTTATTTTATTTCAGAATCAAGTATTTGAATTTATGGATGTAAAAAAAACAATTTCAAGTATAAACAATTGGATACACCAGTGTTTAAATTTTCCAGAGAAGAACATCATATCATGTAATATTTAATATTATTTTCTATGTATGTATGTCTGTATGTATGTATGTATGTATGTATGTATGTATGTATGTATGTATGTATGTATGTATGTATGTATGTATGTATGTATGTATGTATGTATGTATGTATGTATGTTTGTGTGTATGTATATATGTATGTATGTATGTATGTACATATATATATATATATATATATATATATATATATATATATATATATATATATATATATATATATATATATATATATATATATATATATATATATATATATATATATATATATGTATGTATATATATGTATGTATATATATATATATATATATATATACATATACATATATATATATATATATATATATATATATATATATATATATATTATATATATATATATATATATATTATATATATATATATATTATATATATATATATATATATATATATATATATATATATATATATATATATATATATATGTATATATATTTATATATATTTATATATATATATATATATATATATATATATATATATATATATATATATATATATATATATATATATATATATATATATATATATATATATATATATATAATACACCAATATTATTCTTATATATATATATATATATATATATATATATATATATATATATATATATATATATATATATATATATATATATATATAAGAATAATATATGTGTTATTATTGGTGTTCCGAAAGAATAATATTGGTGTTCTGGAAGAATATTATTGTTGTTCCATATAATATATAGATATAATAAAAGAAAAATTAAGTTCCGAATATTATATTGGTGTTATGGAAGAAATATGCACCACAATAAGTTACATCATCAATAATCAAACAAGACTTTTTAGTAAACAATTTTTTATAGAGCAGTTTTGAAAAAAAAATTGCAACATTCTCTAGCTTTTCTTCACAACCAGGAACTTTTTTCTTTTTATAAAATTTTTAACCACAATTTCTCTTCACTAATTGTATAGTGGAAGAACTTGTCTTAATTTTATTTGCTAAAGTTTCAACATAATTGTCCGAATTTCTGTCATTTTTTCATACATTTTTCACTTTTTTTTAACAAGATCCCGTTGAACAAAAACTTTTTATTTTACTTCCTGATTTCTTTTTTACGTACCAATGTCCTTAAATCGTTTCACAACACTTTGCACTGTTCTCAAAGCAATCTGCAAATGTTAGAAGTTCTCAAAGCAATCTGTAAAAATTTTTAATTTCTCTATGATGAAGTAAATTTAGTAAAATTTAATTATTTTTTTCTTTAGACACCTTACCTACCATGTCTTGGAAAGGATTTGAAGGCATAGATTTTTTACACTTAATCAACAGAAACGAATTGGTAAATGACGGTGTGGATATAAATAGTGATGATATAATTGATGACGAGGATAATTCTATTTCAGATGTAGAAAATCCTTCGTTTAATAACATTAAGGTTGCGAAAAAACCTAGTGTAAAATCCTCTCAAATAGCCAATAGAGTCGATTCTAGCTCACAAAATAAAGTTTTTTACCGCATGCCTAAAATCAATATTGAAGAAGAAATTAACGAGGAAGTGGATATAAATGATGCCTTCAGGTATTACGACGAACTTTGATTGTTATAAAAAACCGACCATATTTGTCTGTGTATACAAATTACATTTTCAAATATACAATTTATTTATAGATGCGTGCACATGCGTGTACATGCGTGCTTACAACTTTTAATTTTAAACCAAAAAATCTTTAGAGTGATTACATGTATTTATTATTTTACGTGTTTGTTTTATCTAATTTTTTAGTTTTTTACTTTAAAAAGGTAAGTTGTACAACTGCTTGTTCAAATGATTCCAAAAGACTTTAAATTAAATTGAAATGTTAAGTTTGCTACAAGATTTAATAATTAAAAAAAAAACTAAAAAACTTTGACAAGCAACCAGAAACGTCAGTCTTTACGACTGACGTAGTGGCCGACACCCAGATCTTTTAGATCTTTAAAGATATATCTTAAAAAAATAAAACAAAATAAAAAAACGTGGGATTGAAACAAAAAAACGTGAAGTATTTTTAATATCTGTGCTTTCTTTTATCTTGCTCTATGTTTTAAATGTATTAATTTATTTATAAATTAGTCACAAAAAAAAGTCGCCATATTTTTAACACTATTTAAATATATTTTCAAGTTTATTAATGAAAATTGGTTTCGTAATCTTTTTTTTTATAAACAAAAACTTCAAGTTCTGCCAGTGTCTCGTGGACTTCCTCAGGGAATTGGACTAAACCTTTTAAAACTTATGTTAGAGATTTTCCAACCACCTCCAAAACCCCTAAAATTCAGTTTGCTGACTATAACACACATTTAGAAAGTAATTTGGACCCATACGTTCTAGCAACTAGATTGGTACATACATTCAATAAAGCTAAAGAAGTCTGCAACTTGTATCAAGGCTGATTTTATTAATGAAGAGGCCCCTAAGTCATGTGGCGGCCATCCCCCCGTATTTGGGGGTCCTGGGGTGTAAACTTAAAAAGTAAATGTTTTGGAATTCAAAAATAATGTACGTAGGTTTTAGTTAACATTTGGTTTTAGGTTCAAGGTAAAGCTGTACACAATAATTGTCAAGCTACACAGACAACTATTGTATAATCGGCTCCAGTCCATTATTTGTGGTTACTCGTTATTAAATTACAATATATCTAAAAAGGTTTGGTTTAAGTATCTTTTTTTAATAATCATTTTTAAAAACATTAAGTTAAAACTTTGTTTTCCAAGATAAATGTTGGATAATTGAGGAGAGAATTTTCAAAAATCCTTAAAAGAGTCTTTTTTTCAAGTCCTCATTTTCTGAGTCAATATTCATAACACTTTTTAAAATACTTATCTAAACGTTCATGTTGAGAAAATACAGGAACAGGCGCAGAGGGACCAGCTACAATTGGTTAAATAAAAGGACTGTTTTTTCTTTGTCAGACACAGGCAAATCGTTCTCTTGTCGTCATTCAAAGGCTGCAAATGCATCAACAAAGCCTGCAATGTAAAGGTATTGAACATATCTGCTTTGCGGTTGTGCTAATAAAAGATAAAAGAACTTTAGACATCATCTACTGATAAAAGTCTGGAAAAAACCTTTCATAAAGTAGATGCACAGATATGGAAGGGGTGACTGGGGCTACCCAAAAACGTACGGATGCGTACAAAGGGGAAGAAAGTTAAAGTTGTATGTGGTTTGACTATCTCGCGTACTCTGCTAAACTTGATTTCTTTTTTATTTTTTATTTAAAAAAAACTCATAGAACTTCGTTTAAAAAAATTAATATTTGGCTATGTGACATAGGTATGTCAAATTACCTAAAAGTTTTTTGTCTTTAATGTTTTGAAAAATGCGTTGGTAAGAGGGTTGATTTTTAATAAATAAGACATATGCATGTACAGAAGAGGAGGTGGGCTTGAAAGCATCCAAGCTGCGTACAAGAGGGTCCTAAATTAGCGGTTTTACTGCGTACGAACTTTATGGATGCCCCCTTTCTGAAGCTACTTCATTTGAATGGATTTTTTTTTTTTTATAATATTTTAGTTTACATTTGTTAGTTCGTTTTTACAATATAATGAGAGTAAATAAAAAGTTAATACAAATTATAAAGTAAGCAAATACTACTAACATTTAAAAAACTAGGTATCTGAAAGAAGATCAATAAGATCTTCTCTTAATGATCTTCTTTCAGATACCTTGTTTTGCCTAATTTTAATTTTGATCTATCTACTTCTTTGCATCTTTTTAACACGTTCACGCCGGCGTGTACCACCGGTGGTACACACTAGACTGTCTCATTGGGCAGCGTGTACCACTGGTGGTACACGCTGCCCAATGAGACAGTCTAGTGTGTACCACCAGTGGTACACGCTGCCCAATGAGACAGTCTAGTGTGTACCACCGGTTGTACACGCCGGCGTGAACGTGTTAAGGTTAAGCTTAAAAATTTTTTTCTCCCCCGAAATTATCAGAATTAAGCTTTTTCGATTTATTGTTTTTTCACAGATAGGAAAATTGGCATCATAGACAGAATAAAATGTTTTAAAAAAATTTTCAAAAATTTTATTTGCGTCGTCATTAAAATTTATATGCTTCCAATGAAGTGATAATTGTTTTTTAAACTGTTCAATATTGTTTATATTATATATGGGTTTACTTATTTTATTATTAGTTTTGGTTTTAATTTTAGAATTTGAGTTGAATGATAGAAATATTGGGAGATGATTAGTGATATCTGCTTTCAATATACCTTTTTGTATATTATTATTGAAGACATCAGTTGTAATAATGTTATTAATGAGAGTTGCTGAGTTTACTGATACTCTAGCTGGTCCATTATTTAGGCGATTAATTAAAGGAATTTTTTGCTCAAAAAACGTGCTTTCAGACCTTCAGGTGGTCGATAACAGGAGCTTAGTAATACGTTTTTAGATTCATTGTTTAAGATTTTAATAGTTAAAATTTCTTTATCGCCTTCAGAAACGCTTAAATCATTCTTAACGTAAAGCGCAATGGTTTCCTTTACGTAAATAATAACTCCGCCACGGCGTTTATTTTGTATGTCTTGAGATATAACTCAAAACGGGGAAGATAAAAATTTGCCTTATTACTTAAATTGTTTGTGTTTATCCAAGTTTCAGTTAAACAAATAACATTAAAAACATTTTTAGTTTCTTCTAATAAGTAAAGGAGCTTTTCAAAGTTATGACTTATGCTTCTGATATTTACACGAAGGATTTTAATTTGTTCGCTGTTATTGGAATTAAAAAGAGACCCTTCTATTTCACTAGAATAATAGTAAAAACAATCATTATTTAAATCATAAGAATATTTAGGGTCTTTTTCTGCATTTATATCTATTAAACTTTTAATTTTTAAAAAATTAAAAGCTTGATGCTTAAAATTGCTAATTTCAGCCATTCCGGTGAGATTTAGAATCTCCTTTCATTTTTCCGACTACGTTATTTTAATTATGCATATCTTTAACAAAAATTTTATTAAATTTGATTACTGCATACTTACCTTCTTTACGATGCCTTTTAACTTCATCCCACAATTTTTTGCGATGTTCCAGGGTTTCTTTCGCATAATTTTCATTGAAAAAAATTTCAGTGTCTTTAAGTTTTTTCACAAATGTTAAAATTTTGCACTTATCATTATAATTTAGGAGTTTAAAGACTATAGTTCTTGGTAGCTTGTCTTTAACTCTTCCTATTCGATGGGCTCGCTCAACCATTAAATTATCGGCAATTCCAATCTAGTTTTTAAAGATCTTTTTTCTGGATGATCTGATTTCTGGATGGATATTGCCTTTTCAATGGCTTCACTGTCGAGTACTGCAGGCCTTCATTAATAGTGTAGAATGCATCAGGTTCTGGTATAAATAAAGTAATATTTGAATCTTTATCTTAAATGTAAAAAAAATATGACGCAATAAAGTGTGAAAACCAACTTACGTATTTATAAGCTCTCAGAGGAAAATAATTTGACGATAATTTGGCATATTTGTGTCATTATTTTGGTTGATAATCATTATCCATTATGTCGCTTGGCAAATTTTAAACAAGTTGACTAAAACACTTTCAAAGCTCGTGAAGTAACAGAATTTCCGATTGAAATATTGTGTTGAGTCCAAATAATAAGAAAAATCAAATCATTCGTTGCTTTTGGATTTGTTTTACATTCCTTTCCGAAATATAACATAAGAGAATTTAGAAGCTTCCGAATTTTGCTACCTGCATTGTGCACAATAAGCCCACTTGTTTTTACTGGCTTCAGAATGAAATGTTCTGAACATTTTTGGCATTCTTATAAATCATTGAATTAAGACCTCCCACTAGTGCTATGGACAAAGTAATGTACACCTCTCACGATCATCCAGCTTTGAGCGTGTTTTGGAAGAACTCAGGTAAATGCTACGGCAGGAACATTTAGCAAGTACGGAATCACTACGGCAAATGTACGAAGACTGAGTTGTGTGTGCCATAAACATATACACACATAGTGTTGCAGGTGTCTGCACAAAATTCAACAAGCATGTCTCAACAAGCATGTCTAAGCTGATTCCCTGATTTTGTTACAAAGCTAACGCAGAATCAATGCTGATAACAGTTTCACCAGGAACACCAGTTTATCGGCCAAGGATGAAACCAAAATTGTTCTTTAAAATAAAAATGGCCACTCTAGATTCTTACTTTACCACAGCATTTCACTGCTGCATCCCTGATGGTTAGCCATTTATTTTCGCAACTGGTTATTTTCATAATTTATTTTCGGTAATTTCATCATGCTACTTTTATGAATGGCTGTATCAGAATGCCTCTCTAGATCACCCTTACGGCTTATTAGAGATTTGCTTTGCAAAAGGCTACATCCATTTAACTATTCTTGTTATTTTTCTTTGTTAGTCATTTTTTTAATTTTTTTTCGTTCAGCCAGTTGTCTAAAAAATTTGAAGGTTTACATTGTGATTTTTTAGAATTACTTTCTTATTTTTACCTTTCTTCTTAATATTAATATTAAAAATAATTTAAATAGATTTAGTATATAAGTTTGAAATAATTTATTTCTCGCTTATCCTGGCCCCCCGTTCACCGGGACGGGGGGTCAGGATAAGCGAGAAATAAATTATTTTAAACTTATATACTAAATTTATTTGGCCCTGTACAGTGGCGTTGGAAGGTCAAGAAAGTTGGGGGGAGGGGAGCAAAGAGGGTGCTGAAACGGAAATATATATATATAGCAGGGCCAACGAAACGGGTTTCGAAGTGGAAGGGCACAATCGTCTATTTCTAAAAGAATGGAAAAACAGATATTGAAAAGTTGGGAGGGGCTATAACCCCCTCCACCCCTATTCCTATTATAAGACTTTAAATACGGTTTAAAATTAGCAATAATGAGATATTATTGATTATGTATACATATGTCTACTCCGTTACGGTCAACACCGCGATTTCCTCTTAATAACGGAGTTGACAACAACATAACGGAATTGACTTCATGATGATATTTATCATCGTATGATACATGATTTTTTGATTTGTTTAAAAACAAATCAAAAGATTAAAACTAGGCCATTAAATAAACACGTCAAACCATTAGGCAAAAACTGCAGAGGTGAAATCTGATTACCTTGCAGCGTGTATATATACGCTACATTCTTTTAAGCTTGGTTTCCAGTAGTTGTAGAAATATCATACAACAGTTGTACAACAATAATGCTTTATAATGGGAAACATTTTGTTGCTAAAGTTGCACAACTTAATGTCGGTTGTACAACAAAATTTATGTTGTAAAACAAAGGTTACGGAGATAGAATTAAACCTATTTCGGCAACAAATGTTGTACAACAAAAACGCACAACTGTTGCACAACATTTCTACAACTATTGGAAACCAAGCTTTACTTTCAAGTGGTTGTAAGAAATAGAGTAATTTGTTTAATTGTAAGTGGGTTAGTAATAGGATTGCATTTATTGTTTGGTTTATATTTATATTTGACTCTAATTAAGTTTGGCTTTTAAAATAAATCTATATCCTGAGTCATTTCAGTAATAATAATAAATAAACTTTTGATGTATTAGAATTACAATTATTATACTATTTTTCCAAAAGAAATACATCTAAGCATATAACATGAAAACTTCAAAAAAAAACATCTAAGCATATAACATGAAAACTTCAAAAAAAAACATCTAAGCATATAACATGAAAACTTCAAAAGAATTACATCTAAGCATATAACATGAAAACTTGAAAGAAATCTCGTGCTGAAATTCAGAAAGCGTTTCGGGACAGACAATTAGAAAAAAATCCAGACACTGTTCATGAAAAAGAATGCAAACGTTGGCATATGTGGTGTGAGCAAAAGAAGGTTAAAGTGATTTCAGAGTTATCAGAAAGAAAAATTCAATTGCTCATCGTCGTTGGCGCGACCAGAAAGCAAAATTTAGAGCTGTAAAACGAAAGATTGAAACACTGTCATCAGATTCACCAGTAAAGAAGTTAAGTAGCAATAACGAATGCAAATAAAGAGGTACAGCAAAGGTTGCTTACCGAAAAACAAAGGCTTATAGACAAATATAACCATTGACAAAGGAGTTGGAAACGGTTAATTGTTCAGCCAAAAAATACAAAAAACGTTGTTTAAGGTTTAAATGTTCCCTGCCTCGTTCACAAGCAAATTCACCTACAAACACTGAATCACCTAAAACCCCTAACTCTTCTGTGTCATCAAAAAGTATAACTCCGAACAGCGAGGGCCATCGCGGTAATGCATTGCTTGATGTTGAAACACAGGATTTAATCAGAGAGTTTCTTACACGTGATGAAAATTTTAGAATAACAACTGGAAATAAACAGACTCGTTACCGTCCATTTTTTTTCCGCAAACCGTCGGTAAAAGATAGAGACATCTGTGCAAAAAACACAAGAACAAACAATTACATTGTGATAAACTTATTAGATTGAGTGTTTTGAAAAAAAAAATATTGAAGAAGTAGTGAAACAAGTTTGTTGTAGTACTGATAGAAGAGAATGTATATACAGAGAATGTAACATTTGTTTGGACTATTGTGTTCAATTTCAAGCAAAATAATTGCTAAAAGATGAAAGTATTATAGTTTGGTTCCAGTGTAAAAGAGTAAAAAAAAGAGAAACAGGAATATGAAAAGAAGGTAGAAAAGAAAACAATAAAATGTTATCAGGAAAAGTGTAAAGAATGGAATAATTAAAGATCTTAAAATAAAGTAAAATAAATAACATGGAATAAAATTTCTTCTTATTCTCAACAGTGACTCAAAATTTAACGACTTAAAATTTCAATTAGCCAGTTGGAGTTTTTTTGAAAGTGGACATGGCAAGGGAGCATTTGGTTAATATGGGCTGTGACCTTCCAGATGCAGAAAGTTTATACAATTTTCTTAATACTGGGATTCATTAATAAAGTTTTACTTTAACGAGTGATCCAAAATTACTTCTTTTGACTCAAGATGTTCCAAAACATTAAAGGTTATTACAGGCACTATGAAATTGCATCAGCTACACACAGAAAGAGAACTTAGTGTTTCGAATCGAAAATTAAGCTGCTTCTGTAAGAGAAGTTTGCACATGCTACAGTTTAAAGCGATATATGTTTTCCAAAAGCACTAACATAGTAAACAAATATTTGTTTATTTTATTATTTTGGTAATTTATTTATTTCTATAGTAACTAAATTAATTTTAGGACTTCCATGATGCAAAATTTCTTTTTAATAATACAGAATTTGAACAGTGGTGAAAGTACTACCTCAGCTAGTAGAAAGGTCAATGATTACCAATTTCAACATTTAAGCAGCAATATCATTGATCTGGTTAATTTCAATGAAAATTGGAATATCTTGTTGATTGAAGTAAATAATTTTGCGAGCGATCACGAATTTCTTCACATTAATAATATATGGTAATGATTAGTATTCCAGTAACGGAGCGGACAGTATTTGTACAATTTAAAATCAAAAAGATTTTCTGTCGAGTTAATTTTTTTTTTTTAAAACGCTTTATCTTTTTTATAAAGACAATGTACTGACTTTTTACGTATACTAAGATTTTCCCTTTAATCTGAAATATAATTTACTATTTTGCTTTTAAATAATAAATACTTAGCAAATGTTAGTAACGGAGCAGACATTGTCATATAAAATAAATTTTTTATGTCAATAAATTTGGGTAATATACTTAACATGTATGCTGTAGTTATAGTACCAAATATATTTCATTACAAAAATAGAATTTGTTACAAAAATATTAATAATTCACAGTTATAGTTACATTGATGTTACGGTAACGGAGTGGAAAAAATTATTGGGACTCATTACTTGACGATATCCAAAAACATTTAAAAAAGTAGATAAATGCAAAATCAAATCTATTTTCTATATACCTAATGATTAAACTTAAAATATTTGTTAAAGTTTTATAGATTGCGCAAACTTTATTTTCATGCAACATTACGCGAGGTTAGAATTATTTTGTTTTATCTCCACTTTTTGAAAAAAAATGAGTTATTAATTGTGTAATGTACCTCAAATAATGTTTTTCTACTATATTAAAACCTAAGTTAAAATCATAAAAGTTTCGGAGAAAACATAAGTAATAAAAATCTTTTTATATGCCGTCTCCTAAAGTTTTTATTTTTTAAATCGTTTTATCTCGAAACAAAAAAATGTGGAGAACAAAATAATTTTAACCTCGCGATTAGTTGCGACAAAATCATTTAATGAGATATTGACTCATGTACTCTTCCAAAACATTGTTTACATTTCTTTTTGAATGCTACTAAACCGTCCGAAAGTTTGAAGTTCCAAAGAAATGTGTTACAGAATCTAATTGTAAAATCAAGTTTCTTGTCATGGCTCTTACTCCTTTCTCAAAACGTGCAGATCCATTTCTATTTCAAAATTTGTCTCAAGTATTTGTTTTAAGTATTAGACATAAGTATATGGGCAATGTTAGACAAAAAAGAAAAATAAATCCGTTTGTTAAAAGGCACACTGATTTTATAAAAGAACTATGTATTGCACTTGTTAAGTACGAGAGAATTCAAACCACTTTTGAAAGAGCTAAAGTTCTTGAGAAGTATGGAAACCTGGTATGTAATTCAGTTAGAAAAATTTCATCTAATATCTGTTATTTTTGACTTTAAATTTGAAAAATATATATAGATAGAGATTAAAAATTTTGACTTTATTGTAATACGTTTTTTTACTTAAATCTTTTGCCTCAGGGAGTTTCAATTTTAGTTTTAAAAAGCTATATGCTGCATTATAGCATTTATATATCTGTAAAATCCTGGGTAGTTGCTTTAGAAATCGACAATAATTACTAAGAAAATGTTGAAAAAGGCTCGGCGTTATATAATAGTTTTCAAAAAAAATGACAATTGAATTATTCTTTCCATGGTAAATCTACATTCTAGCAGCCTTAAATAATTAAATTTAAATTATTTGTTTTTTTTTTTAAATAGAGAAGAGTGTAAAAATGCATATTAATGATAAAATAATTATTATTTATAATCATTATATTAATGATAGTTAGTATATTTATAATAAAAATAGTTATTATTAGTCATAAAAAATATTTTTAATAATAATTATGATATTTACAATAAATATTTTAAGATATTTTAAAGTCTCTACAAATGACAGCACAAAAATAAAATTCTTTTAGGCCAATAAACTGTACCTTTCAATATATATTTAATAAATATTTAAATGGCTGTTCCTGTATATATTTTATAACAAGCTGTTAATAAAAAATAAAATTTTATTCTATATAAAAAAATATAGCAATGTAGTAATAAGTAAAGTAGGTGTATGTAACTGTTTCTGCTGTTGTTTTTACTGTTATTATTTATTGTTATTATTCATTTATTTACTTTTTTCAAAAATTTTTTGTTGACCAGCCTTGTAATTCTTCTTTATTTAACAGGCAAGTACATATATAAATCTTTGTTACATTATTTTGTGATTGATAAATGTTTTTTACTTCTGCCTCCTAGATACGCAACTCTGTTATTACTTAATAAAGGTACCTAAACTGTAAAAGGTACAATAATGGCTTGTAGTAAAGTTTCCTGAACTATATTTAAATCTCATAGAGGCCAATTCCATTAACAGCTGTAAAATATTAGACTATTAGTAGTGCTATGTTGCATGCTGTTTATGTTTATGTCGTTGTTAGTGCTTTTGGTATGCATTTTGGAAGCCTAAAAAAGCCCTTTGTTATAATTTTAGGTTGATTAGCATGAATGAGTTCTCTGCATAGCTTTTTTCTTTGGATGTCTATGATCTATGTTTGAGTTTCACAATCTTTTTAATAATTAAAATCCTGACCATAGCATCTAAAGTATTGAAAAATGATGAACTAAAAATTATCACTAATTTTTTTAAATCTTTTTTTTTTGAAGTACACAAGCTTACATTCATGAAAAAAAAATTTCTCTTCAATTTTGTGCTCAATAATGATAAAAATTTGTGAAAATTTAACTATTTTTTGCTGTGGTCTTAAAAATGACGTCTAAAATCTTTAATTCATTGGTGCAACTAACTGATGCTGTATTTTATGTGACAGTTATTGGAAATTGTCCAAATATGTTTTAGTAAAAACAAGTTTTGCCTTGTACAACAAATTTACAATTTCCAAAAAAATCATTGATTGCAATGATTTCAATACTACTTATTTTTTAATTTTTTCAAAGTTTGACATTTAGGGATGATAGAATGAACAAAAAGTTTTTATAAATTTTTAAATCAGAGTATGAATGAAGCTTGTACTGTGATGTAATGTAGTTTATACTGACTAGTTCAGATTGATCTGTTTTCTTTCATTGTTTTTATACAAGAATCATCTTAATCAGAATCATTTTGAGAATACTACTTAGTTTTAGAATAATGTCTTAGTATAACTTCAGCGGTGTACTCTCCGGTTTTTTCCTGGTCACCCTGCGGGCGACTAAAAGAGTTTATAATTCTTACTTAATTTACTATGATAATCAGTAGTTTGGTGTAATAATATATATTTTTTATCTTGGGTGAAAATACTCAAGAGAAAAATTTTAATGTCTGACTACTAAAATATGACTAATAAGAAAAAGTTTAATTAAAAGTAAATTCATGGAAAACAAAAAGAGAAACTTTAAGTAAAAAAAAAATAATGATAAGTAACTTTAGTAACAAAGAGATATTAGTGAAGAAATAACTTTAAACACTACTTTAATATTTAACTTAATATAAAATTATAATTTTAACTTTAAAAGATCGTCATTTTTGTCATATGTTTTGACATTTCTTTTTTTCCCTTTAAGTTTAATAAAAAATCAAGTTAGCTCATTAAGTTTAATGAAAATCACAGCGTAAAAGAACTTAAGATTACTTACTTCATTAAAATAAGTTTAACTTTGCATAATTTATGGTCAATCCCTAACACTTTTTTTAAAAAAAAAAAAAAAAAAAAACTTCCACCTGTGCATCATAAAATGCATTCTAATAATGTTTTTTCACATGCGTATTAAACTTTCTTTTGTAAGTAAAAAACTGTCTGGTCATCCTGCTAGGCTACTGACATGAATTTTTTTTAAATTTCAGTCGCCCTTTGAGAAAATGAGTCATCCGTGCCACCAAATGAGTGTGCAAAGAGCAGTTTGTTATGCAATTCTTGTTAGTTTTACTATGAACAAGCATATCAATAAGTTAGTTACCATAAACTTAACATTTTGATATCAATAAGTTAGTTACCATAAACTTAACATTTTGATGGCATGTGAAAATGCATACTGTATGCGCAACTGGTGCTCCTACTGTAACAAACCATTTAAGTATTTCAGGGCACAAAAAAAAAATAACAAGTTTCTGGATAACTACTTTTAAACTTTTAGGTTTTAAACTGCTTTAAACCTTAGTTCTTTTAGAGATTTTAGAATTTTAATCTATAAAAGATCATAAAATTATAGTAACTTTTTTTCATATTTTTTTCATATAGAACCAAAGAAAAAAAAATTAGAATTTTTATTGTATAGGCATCTCATGGTATACATTTTTTTGTACAGGGCATAAAAATATTTAGGAAATCACTTTTTAAGTTTTTTGATGCCTCGTGAAATGTTACATCATTTTCAAATATATTTTTTTCAATAAAAGCTTAGGTTTTGTCATTATTTTTGAATTCTAAATTCTCAATTTTTGTACTAAATATAGTTTTAAACCAAAATTATGTTTTATATACATATATAATAAATAAAATTGAATTTACATCATAAAAAAAATGTTAAAGAAGTTTTATTACACTATTATACAAGACTATTACACCATTTTAACAAATGTTGTTGATACCAAACTTTGTGCTCTTTGCAAATAGCTTTATCTGTCTTTATTATGAATGATTTGCTGGGCTGTCTTATCAATGAACTAAAGGATTTCACCGTGTAGAAATTTAATCACAATCATGTGGTTCAATCCCTACATTGTTAAAAAAATGTGGTAGAACACATTTTTTAAAATTTAAATTTTGATCATGCTATGTAAGCTATAGGTACAGAGATTGTATGAAAAAGAAAACAAAAAATTAATAATATTTTTCTGTAAAGTGAAAAAAATTACATATTTAAATTTGTGCTATTTTTTATAATATATGCAATTTTTTTATAAGTTTCATTTTTTTAGAATAAAAAAAGCAAAAAAAAAGATTTTATAAAAAATACATATTGTAAAATTATAGCATATTTGAAAATAATTTTTTTTTTAGTTGATTGAATTAACTCAGCGCACACAACCTCCTCCAGATTTATTTGCTCTAGAAAATGGTTTTTTGTTACGACCTGATGAAATAACATCTAAGTTTACTGAAAAACAATTAATCAATAGACGATGGAAGAAAAGAATTGTATTTCCAACATCAATTTCTACAGAGCAGTTTGTTGCTACCTGCAGAAATGAAGCAGAAAATATTCTACTAAAAGTTAGTATTCAATGTATTTTTGAATTACATATAAGTTTTTTAAATTTATTTTTATATTTTCTACTATAAACAATGTTTTACTCATTATTGTTTAATTTTCATAATATTTGTATTATAATTACTAAACCAATTCTGTTTTTATTCCAGGGTCAGAAGTAACCTAAAGAAATATGTTTTACTTAAAAAATTTCCAAGGTTATAAATTTATTAAATAAAACATATTTCTTTATTATTATTTGTTATATAATAAATTATCTTTATTATTTTAAAAATTTTAGGATATAATTTATTAGGATTATTAGGACATAACAATTTTATAAAAATTAAAATAACAATAGTGAAAAAATATTTGGTTATTAAGTTATTGTTTTATTATAATAACAAATGGAAAAAAACACAAAAAACTAACAGTTCTTTTTGTGTTAATAAGTATTTGTGTTGACTTCTGAAAACAATAATTCAACAGCAATGATAAAAAATTATGAGTATTTTTCAGCACAAAAAAAAAATGAAAGAGATAAAGAAAAATGTAGCAGGGTAGGAATTATGTTAAAACAATCAATTAAGCACAAACAACCTCAAAATAAACAGCTGGTCAGCTGATGATATAAACATACACTTAGATGCTAAAGAATTATTTAGCAAAATCTTCAAAGAAATGATGTACTAAATCTAACACAACAAGTCATTAAAACAAACTCATAAAATGGGATACATACTAAATGTAGTAATTAACAAGCCAGATGAAATATTAGTAATTATGCTTGCTGTAACAGACTTTAGATTAAGTGATCATTTTTTCATCAATTTTAACAAAAAATAGAAAAAAAAATTATACCAAACTATCTCATACAGGAATTTAAAAACAGTGGACATTAAACAATGAAATATCAAGAAATAAACCAGAAATATCATAAGCTGAAAATATGAAAGACAAAATAACCATATATAACCAAATAATGAAAGAGATAGTGCAGAAACATGCTCCTTCGAAAACAAAAAGAGTAAAAATAGTCAAAATAGCTCCTTGCTTTCATGGAGAATATATGCAACTAGGCAAAAGTGAAGAAAAGCCGAAAAGTTGTTTAAGAGAACAAAAAATGAAAGTGACAAAAAAGAATATAGATGCCTCAGAAAAAAACAAACAATAATTGCTTATATAAAAAAGAGAACATGTTTCTCTAATCTATTAAATAAAAACACTACAAGTAAAAATCTATTCTCATTGGTAAATAAGCTACTAGATAAAACTCAAGAATATTTACTACCAACAGCAGATTCAGACGAAGTCTAACAACTTGAATAATTATTTTAATGAAAAAATCAGAAAACTCAAGTCTGGTCTAAAAAATATGCCAAACAAAGAAAAACACATCTGATTATAATGGTCAGTTTTTAAGAAATTTTGATCCAACAGTGTATGAAGAAATTTACAAAATCACCATGTCATTTGGAGTAAAATATTCTCTTGATGATCTGATTCCAGCATATCTACTATGGAATAGTTTACAAGGATTTATACATATATGGGTTGAAATAGTAAACCTATCGCTAGAATCAAGCAGCATGGAATCGCTAGAATCAAGCAGCATTGTCTAAAAAGTGCTACATTACTTCTGATAATAGATACATATATTTAACAAACCAAAATGTAAAACATGTAGCACCACAAGGTAGAGTCCTGGGTCCAAAACTCTTTAATATATATATATATATATATATATATATATATATATATATATATATATATATATATATAAATATCTATATAAATATCTATATAAATATCTCATATATATATATATAAATATCTATATAAATATCTCATATATATATATATATATATATATATATATATATATATATATATATATATATATATATATATATATATAAATATCTCATATATATATATATATATATATATATATATATAATGAGACCACTATACAAATACATAATCAAACTTTTGGATACTCTGATGATCATTAAACTCTTCATCTTCATCTCAATATAATGTACTAGTCCTAGATTTACCAAAATGTCTTCCATGAAAAATCATGTAAACGACCAGGAATTTAACAAATGCATTGGCTGAAAATTAAAGAAAGAATATATTTCAAGGTCCTTTTAATAATGCACAAATCTATTTACTGGAAGCAGCAATGTCATTATGCAATCTAATTCACTACTCTATGCCAGAAAGAACATTATTCATGATGCTCAGTAAAATTATGACTTTTTCAAGAAAAGAAGTTATGATTATTATTCTAAATATAAGAATAAATTTCACTATGGCAATAATTTAGCAATAGTTTATCATAAATTTCACTTTAGCAATAAATTTTCAGATATGGCAACAGTATTCCATACAAGGACGGATTTGAGATTTATAGAGATAAAGAATATAATCCTGAGTACGAAAGTAGCGAGCAAGATAAAAAGATGCAACCTTAGTAGTTGCTAATTTTGCAATCGATTTGAAATATGGTTTCCAAGAAAGATTGGAAGTAAGAGTTAATCCTAGGAGGTGAAGGGTAGATGACTCATTGAGTATTTATTACCATTTATAAATATAGGAAGATTTAGACTATTGTGATAATGCAATAACATTGAAAAAAATTGAGTTTTATCCGAGTTGAAGTTCACCAGCCGCTGAGAGCCCCATGCTGTAGCAGAAGTGAGATTCTTTTCAAGCTCAAATACCCCTCCAAGAAATCAGAGAGTGTTGGTTTCTTATTAAGACAAGAATAAATGGTAGTATCATCAGCAAACAATGCCACCTTAGATGTCAGAATTTCTGGGAAATCGTTAATGTAAATTAAAAAGAGTATAGGGTTAAGGATTGAAACTCGAGGAACCCCTGAAGTTACTGGATATGATGAAGATTGCTATCCATCGAGGACAATTTTTATACTACGATTGTTAAGGAAGGGTTCAACAATCCTGAAGATGTTACCTGATTCCATAAGAAGAAAGCTTATGCAAAATACCAGCATGCCAAACTTTATCAAAGGCGAAATTGATAATCTTAACCTCTTCACATCAATCTAAAGCACCATAAAACCTATCGGTTATTACCAATAGGTTTTATCGATAAACCCAATTGATGATCAGAAAGTAAGTTGTTACATTCTAAATGAGAGGTTAAATGTTTGTTAATTAAAGACTCAAAAACCTTGCTTATGATAGTTAGAAGACTAATGGGACAGCAGTTAGACAAGTCAGATCACTCTCTAGAGTTTCTGAAAATAGGGATAACATGTTGCTTTCCAGCTGGCTGGAAAACAAGACTCTGATAACCACTTGTTAAATAGTTTTGAAAGTATAGGCAACAGGTAGAATGCAACTAGTGGAATTAAGAAATGATATTGATGAAAAGTTCTTAGCAAACAAACTTTGTCTTTAGGTGAGGTGACCAAATCTAAATCATACAAAAGAGGGGGATAACAGATTTGCCATTATTATAGATAATGTTAAAGATTCTCCAAAAGTCATGAGAGTCTAACTTTTGAGATAAAATACAAGATTTTATAACCTGATAATAGCACCTGATAATAGCAGGCTTTGGCATTACACAAAACCTTTTTACAATGGTTTCTAGCAATAGTAAATAGATGTCTGTTTTCTGGAGAGTTGTTTTGCTGAAAGATATGAAAGTATGGTTATGATTGGAAATTGCAGCACCACAATGTGAGGAAAACCATGGAGAAGAGTGAGGCTTGACTTGAAATTGTTGAGAGGGAATAAATGATTCCTTGCCAGCCTGGGTCCAAAAAGTTACATAAGAAGCACATTTGTCAGCAGGAAGAAAAAGATTTCTACCTAAGCGCCATCACAGTTGGAAAGTTGACAATTTGTGTTAAAGATTGAACAAGGCAAAAGTTGTGGGCCTTAACGCTTGCAGAGTCATTGACACTAGAGCCAAGTCATTCAGTGAGATGAGCATTATAGTCACTAACAACAACAATATTGGGTGAAAGATAAAGAGAAAGGGCTTGGTCAATTTGATCAAAAATAACATTGAAAAGAATGCAATCTTGAAATAAAGGTGAGCAATTCAGAATAAGGACTGGCAAAATCAACTTTTTAAGACTTGAATTTAACTGACCAATTTAAACCATATGCAATCACCAAATTTAACTGGAAGATGATTTTAGGTCAAATTTGTACCCCGAGTTATTTAGGTCATATTTGTACTCCGTAAGAAAGATTGAAGAATATTATGTTAAATATTTACCTGTTTTTTACTTTTAAGATTTAATAAGTGGTGAATAGACTTTGTGCTTAAAAAAGACTTTTTGTTTGTTGAACCCAGCATATTAGATAAGACAAATCTATATCTAATATGCTGGGTTTTTTTTTTTTTTTTTTTTACTGAATTCACATTCCGAAAGCCACTTTTGTCGAGGAGGTTACTAATTTTTTAGTTTTTATTTCTATAGTGATTACAACCCTCCTTATACTCTTTAACTCTGAAACCTTGACAAACAAGGGCGCTGCACAGATAAACAGATTAATATGCATGAAACGTGTAATATATTTAATTATAATTAATTTTCTTTTTTAATTGAAAAAATCATTAAATTTAATTGAAATTTTGCAATTGTTACTGAATTTAACTAAAAGTCGATTTTATATTTCAAATCCGGCACCAAAGTTAAAGCCGAAGTCTACTTTCAGTAAACTTGGTAATTCAACTTTTAATGAATATTGGCTGTTCCTTAATATAGAACAGAGAAAAGCAATAGGGTGAAGTGGTGCTGAACAAAAGCATGTAAAAGAATAGTCTGTATTCAAACTTAGTTTCCCTACAAATCGGTGAATTCTTACGAATGTAAATGCCCAGGCCAAGCATGTGACTATTGGAGTTTTTATGAATTAAAGGAAGATAACCATCAACACTAATACCACAAGATAAGACAGCTGATCTCAAATTAGTCTCACAAAAAGCAAAAAGGTCCGTTGAACTTTGCAAGAGATAAGTTTCAACAGAAGAAAAGTTACTTCGAAGACCACGAATATTAGTGAATGATAGATTTATAGAACTTGGTAATGATGATGGTTTTATGTATTTTTTTTTTTTTTTTGATACTTAAGCCATTTTTTAAATTGGTTAAAGAACTTGACTCAAAGCATACAATTTCACTCAAGGCACAGATAGTACTCAGTACACTATTTAATAGCCCAAGCAATTGCCTCATGAATATTAATAAACCCTAAGCTGTAACAAAATGTTCCAAATGTAGCTTCGATAAGGCACACCAAAATTATGTAATGTAAAATTATATGATAATAATGTAAAAAGTATATAAATGCACACACAAACAGGGATACCATCTATTAGCAACATGGCTTTGTTAGTACTCTAATACTTTACAGTTGTTGATGGAATCAGTCTCTCTAAGAGCTACTACAGAGTTCAGGAAACCTAATTACCAGCCGGCCTCAGAACCATCAAACTGAGTTTTAGAGCTCTACCCTAATTAGGAGATAATAGAATGAGTTATCTAGTCATAAAAAAGAGACACAAGCGAAACCTATGCATTAAGTCAAGAAGATCTAGCAAAGGCAAAGACAAAGGGGTAAACAATGTATTATAAATACATCTGTTTACCCCTTTGTCTTTGCCTTTGTCTTTGCCTAGGAGACTTTTTACAAGACAGTAGCCGAATCGGTTGAACTTCTGTCCAAGATGAGTATTTTTATGAGTATTTTTATCAACACAATCTCTAGCCTTTACTCAACCAAGAGTCCCAAGGCAGTGTTTTAGGTTTAAGAGTCCCAATGTAGTGTTGGAATTGGCTTCTTCTAGCCTTTGCCTTAAAAAAGCATATCCTACAATGCAGCAGGGCATGAAGTAGGTTGTACTCGGTAACATAATACTAGTAGTAGGATAACCTGACCTGACTCTTAACCTGGCCTGACTAATTGCTATGGAAAATAACACTCTACTGATGTCTTGTTGATGCTCCACCAAAATGTGGTTTTTGTGAGAATGTTGGAATTAAAAATAGTAAATGTATGCTAAGTACAGAGTACATTAAAGTTAATTTGAGCTTTACATTAGACTTTCAACAAAAAATCGAAAAAAATTAAAAGTTTTGATTTATTGTACTTGCTTTAAATTTTAAAATTAATAATTTTTTTATTTAAAATTTATCATTAGAAATAATAAAAAACATTATTATTTACTCATTGCATTAATTATAATTGTTTTATTCTGATATAAAAAATTGTTTAAATTAATGCTTAAAAAAACTAAAAGCAAGCAAAGTTTTAATGTTTATTTTTCTGATTAAATGTGTTAATTACACACTAAAAAAAAAATTTCAACCTTTCAAGATAAAAATTTCAACATTTTAAGGTAGAAAATTATATCTTTAAAGTAGAAAATTGTATGACAAACATTTTTTTAAATATAGTTTTCTACCTCATAAGGCATAAAATTATACCTTACTAATTGTATATGACACGTCTTACCCTAAGGAAGAAATTTCTACCTTTTTTTTTTAGTGTGTATGACCTAAATTTATTTCTGTAAATATTTTGGGTATGATTCTAATTCAGTGGGCTGCTACTGTGGTAAATTTTTTTTTTTTTTTTTTTTTTTTGTGTAATTCTCTATTACAGGTGTTACATTCTACTACTTTTACACACTAATGAATAAACATACATACTATAATGAATAAACTTATATTTCAACAAACCGAAAAGGGAACATATTACAATGTTTTTTTTTTTTATTTTCTACATAAAGATACGTTGTTTCTTTTAGGATAAAAAAGCAATTTATATATTTCTATTTAAAAATATTAAATGGTATATTTTACTTGTGATTATTTGCTCTAGGATAAGGAAGCAATAGAAAAGCTATATGGCGAACTATCAGATCGTTATCGTGGAAAATATGGTGGTTATGTTAAAGTGACAAAAATACCAAACCAACCTAACAAAAAATTCCCATGGTTAGCATATGTTGAATATCAGGACAATAGTTTACCTGCCCTTCCACCTATGCCTGAGGTTATAAAAGGTGAGCTTAAAGGAAGACCGAGAATTTTTAATCTTCATGAGTTAAATGCTTCTTCTAACATTTTAAGTGAACAGTAAACTTTATTGCTTGACACAGAATTTTTTATCGAATTATTATAACTCAACCGATAACTCGGTTTTTCTATTTATATATCAAGAGTCTTGATTCGTCTAAATATGTTATCACCAAAAAATGATGTTACTTAAGATCTGTGTAAATTGTCACATGACATGTGATCGTGTAGAATGAACAGCTTAATTTTTTTTTTTTTAATTTCCAATTTTCTTTATAATAAGTCTAGGTTTTTTTGTTACAATAAAAATTACAATATATAAAAATTATTTTTAAGATAAATTAGAAACTATTGATTAAATGATAAACCAAATAATTAAAAAAAAAATTCTTCGAAAGTGTGTCAACTTGGGTTTCAAAATAAACGAAATTAAAGATTTACAAAATATTTTTTGTAAAAAAGTAGTAATGCTTTATGACAGCAAACACTTTAATTTCTAATATTAAAAAAATTTAAAAAAAAATAAATTTCCATTTCCCTTTATAAAGATTATTTAAAAGTAATGCAAAAATTACTAATAAAAAGGCTTTAAGCAATATAACTTAAGCTAGTGGTAAACATTACTTTTTTTTTTTACTGTATTTACCTCCCCAAAGTTGAGGTAGCCACTGCAATCGAGTAGGCTGCACTTTTCTTTTTTTTGGTAATATTTATTAATTGTTGTAACCCTCCTTTAAAACTCCAAAAAAACGAGAAGAGTTTTGAGTAATAAAAACTTGCTATATCTGGATTAAATAAGTAATTAAAGTCACTATGGTGTATGTGAATGAATAAAAGAAGTCGTTATTTCATTGACATAGATTGATGTATTGTTTGTTACAGCTTTGAAAGTACAAATGGCTCTGACATGACGTAGTCAGATAAAGCACAATATTTTTCGGAAATATCTCTTTTTCTACAAAATGAACATGAATCTTTATAAAAGGGTTATTGTTAAAAGTAAAAAAGTTAAGGATAATTTTTAATAACTTTTTTTTTTAATATAGAACTAAAGTAACTTCAGATAAAAAATCTCTTCAAAACGTATCTAAAATAAAATAAATCATTATTTTAAGTAATTACTTATAAATTTGTAGTAATTATAAATTGAGGCGCTGAGAGCCAGAGTGGGCTAAGCCTTAATTTTTCCAATATGCAGTTTATGGTTTCATTGTGAGACATTTTGTCTCACAATAAGACCGCATTTGTCTCGTATATTTTCCTGTACCAAAGTGGCCCAACTCACATTGATTTCTGTTTCAGTGTTCTATGCTTAAGTCAAGTTTGAGATTAACTATTTTTAATGGCTTAATAAAGTTTCAATTGCGATTTTCTCAACGGTCTAAACTGGACTGGTAGGAGTCACAAACCTTATTTAATATATAAAAAGCAAACACAAAAATTTTTTTGCTTCTTTGCTTTTGTTTTTTGTCAAAATATCAATTCAAAATTAATTAACTAAATAAATTTAAAAAAAAATGTAATAGATGCCATCCAAATAAAAATTATTCTACTGTTCAGCTTTTAACGTCTTTATCTTCATCAGTTGTTCCATCTAGTTCCTGTGTTAAGAAACTTATTACTGTCAATAGTAGGATTGATCGAAAGTAGTTTCTATTAACATTGAAATTCTATTGAAAGGTTTCATGATAAACAAATCGATAATTATTTCGTTTTGATTAATTTTCTATATTCTTAAATTGGAAAAAAACAGCTTGTAGGTGTTGTTATTTTCGTAATTTGATTGAAAATAAATTCTTAGAATGGGTTTTTCTCATTTATTCACCATGGACTGCTCGGCTTGTGACTGGTCAACGTGTAGCCACACTTCACAAATTTTTTTTATCTAAAACCAAAAAGGAAAGTGTTACAAAAAGTTAAAAAGTAAGTGTGTGCAATTATTGGCTCTTGAGAAGTTCGTTTGAATAAAATAGAAGATCAGTATGTTATTTTGAATAAAATAGAAGATCAGTATGTTATTTTGAATAAAATAGAAGATCAGTTATTTTGAATAAAATAGTACAGCACATTAGTTGTGAATAACATAAAAACCAGTAAACGGTTTTAATTAAAATAAAAGACCATATGTGGTTTCGAAAAAAAAAAAGAAAGTAAGTATGCAGTTTTAAATAACATAGAAGACCATTTGTATTTTGAATTAGATAGAAGATCAGGATGCGGTTTTGAATAAAGTTATAAGTTATAGGTCTTTTATCCCATTATATAAGTTAAAAGTTGTATTGTTTAAAATAAAGAATCGTTTACCAATGTTGTGTTGTTACTGTTATTCAAACTATTTAAAATATGATGTGGTCCATGTTTTTTTAATTTTAGTCAGTAAAGACTAGATGCTAAAAAAATTATCTGTTATTGTCTTGTACTCGTGCAAGAAAATTCTCAAGAAAAATACTTACAACATTAAAAGAGGAGATTTTGTTTAGTATTTAAGTTAAAATCAATTTTAGTTATAAATCTAACTAGCAAATCATCAACCAATCAAATAGCAGAAAAATCATCAATATATATGGAGAAAAAATCTCTAACAAAACAGACCTACCAGAATGATCAAAATAATTTCATACAAAATTTAAACTGTATCGCTGATATTCCATGTTAAGTGGTTACAAAACGGTAAAACATAAAAATCAAGTTTTAATTTACAAGATAATGTTTAATGAGCTTCTCATCCCAGAGGTTATTGAGTTAATACAAGTTGATGAAAGTTTTCACATAAAACTATTTAACAAAGGTTGTTTAGCATCATTGCCCTAGTTGTTTTGTAGTGGTCATAATTGTATCTTAAATAATAAAATTATTTCATAAAACTTACCCGTCTACTTACAAACTTACAAAATCCGAACCAAAATAACATTTCTACGTTTTTAAAGTGCTTAAAAAAATAAAATACCAAATAAAAAAAAAAAAACTCTGAAAATGTAATTTGCATTATTGTTGCGCTATACTTCATTACAAACTTCTAGAATGTCCCATTCTCAACTAGCCCCACATCTAGCCTTACATCTAGCCTACCGATAAAAATAAAAAGTTATTCCAATCTTCTATAATTATTTGTGATATTTACCTGTTCCCCATCTTAAAAAAAAAAAAGTTTAATGTTCTACAATTTATTTACAAAAAGTATTATGAAAATAATAATAATCATTTTGTTTTGCATATTATGTTACTTATGTATTATGTTTGCAGATGATACTAACTTATTTCTTTCTAACAGTGATATCTTTGAACTTTTTAAAACAATGAACAAAGAGCTTATACATGTATCAAGTTGGTTTAAATGTAATAAGTTAACTCTAAATTCTAATAATTCAAAGTGGACCTTATTCCATTCGCTTTCCAAAAAACGGTGTTTGCCATTAAACTTACCTAAAATTTTTGTTGATCAAAATGAAATAAAAAGGGATTCAGTAACAAAATTTTTAGGTGTTTATCTGGATGAAAACATCACTTGGAATCATCATATCGACTACACAAGCACTACAATTTTAAAAAACATAAGAGTTTTATATAAAGCACGAATCTACCTCAATAAGAAAATTTTAATCAAACTTTATTATTCATTTATACACAGTTATTTAAATTATGCTAATATCGCCAGGGGTAGTACAGAAAAAAGTAAGCTGCAACGTCTTTATTGCCGTCAGAAACATGCTATCCATTTAATCTGCTTTGCAAATCGCTTTTCTCATGCAAAACATTATTTTATTGAAATGAGAATTTTAAATATATACGAGCTAAATATATATAATGTTTTATGCTTTGTATACATGTGGAAAAATGACTTGTATCAATCTGTCTTCAAAGATATTTTTACTCCGAAACCCATCAACAAATACAATTAGAGAAATACTGATTTTTTAAATGAACCTTTCTGTCAAACGAACTTTAATCAATTTTGTATTGCCTATCGGGCACCACACCTTTGGAATAAAATTGTTTTGCCCAATTTTGACTTCGAACTACCCATTACTTTTCGTTTTTTTAAAAGTAAATTAAAAACCCTAGTTTTTTCATTAGATGACGTATTATGTTATTATTAATAATATGAATTAATAACTTTGCCTTTTCTTATTTATATTTGTAAAAAGTTTATTCTTACTTATTTTGTTGATTTTATATTCTTTACTTAACGTATACGTTTATATAAAATATTGGTAAGTAGATCCGCGTGATCTCTCTTTGGATTATATAATATATATTTGGATTATATATATGTATGAAATTTGAAAAAATAGTTAATGCTTGTTTGAACTTATTTAAGGTTCTGACGAACCTTAAATAAGTTCAGTTTATTATTATTATCTTTTTTTTTTTTTTTTGGCAATATATAGTTGTAATACGACCAACAAATGTAAAATTAAAAAAAAAAAATATGTATTTATCCATTTACATATTTTTGAACAGCGAAAAAACCATGCACATCCACGTGCACGCTACTTGCAGCAGTGTAAAAACCGTGCGTTCACATGCACGTTAACGTATACATATTTCGGAACATGGCTAGCCAAGTTGAATAATATAACGAGACATTTGCTAAAAGTATTTCATTCAGTTAACTTCTTGGTAAGTGATTGGAAGATTTTACACTGCTTTTTATGAGTTCCGTATGACTAAATAACTAAGAATGTTTTTTATTGTATGATTTCTTTTTTTAGAATAAAAATTGTAAATATATTTTAATTCGTTGTTTTCCAACTAAAATCTTTAAGGTAATTTGATACTTCTCATCACAAGTTATTCATAGTAAAATTGTTATAAAAAAAATTATTGTTAATAAAATTAAATGATTTTTTATAATTATTACGATAGGCATAAATAGTATTTTAGTTATACCGAAGCATCGTTTATGTTTCATTTCAGTAGCACAAAATTGTTATTTATTTTTCTGTTCAGTTGTACCGAGATGTAGTTTATTTTTCAGTTCAATTGTACCGAGATGTAGTTTATTTTTCTGTTCTGTTGAATGGAGATGGCGTTTATTTATCTGTTCAGTTGTACAGAGATGTCGTTTATTTTTCTGTTTAGTTGTACAAAAATGTAGTTTATTATTCTGCAGAAAAATAAACTACATCTCGGTACAACTAAACAAAAAAGTAAAAAACATCTCGACACAACTGAACATGTTCAGTTGTCTCAAAAAATTTATTACATATCGGTTATGTTAGCAATTTTGTTCGAAACAAAATTTATATAAAACATTTTAAAATAAGAGAAAAAATGAACTGAGGGAGAAAAACTTCGAAAAATGAAGAAAATGTAACTGAGCACCGATGACAGAAAAGTTACTGAGTACCGTTGTCGCAAAATTTACTGAGTACTGTCTATTCCTTTAAACACTTAATACTCAATAATTAAAAAAAAAAAAACTTAAGAAAAATAATTTCTTAAAATTTTTCGTATATATCGTCAAGTCGGAATACAAGTATTATATCGAAAATTTATTAACATTATATATAAATATGTAGTTATCTAATTTATATACATTTAAAGTTATGTTAATGTAAAAAAGTATTTTTATATAATGTTACAATATAAAGTTATACAAAATAATTTTTTTTCATTAACACAATATTAAATTTACATAAATTAGATAACTAATTAGATAGCTAAATATATAAATAAATTATCGATACGACACTTGTATTCCGACACTTACGTAACTTGTATTCCGACCTGAGGATATATAAAAGTTAAAGAAAGTTTAATAATAAAATTACAAATATAACAAAATGAAAGCTATTTTTTAGACTTCTTTAAGTTTTGCTCACTTAGTTCAAAGTTTTTCGTATTATTACTGCAAATAAATATTCTATACATTACATTTGTTATTTCTTTATCCTTTTGAAATCCTGTAACAATATTTATACATAAATTTTTGAGATTCAATTTGCATTTTACATTATATATGTTCATAGAAATAGTTTGTTTTTATTTTTTATGATTGACAGAGCAAGATTTTTTTACTTAATTTTTAAAAATTAAAAAAAACAAACATACTTTGTAATCAAATATATACTGAAATATCGAATGTGAAAGAAATTTAAACTGATGAACTTACGTTTTTGTAAGCTTTTACTGTTTTTACTTAAAATAATTCACTTCGGAATAGTATCGTATCCAAAAGATAGTAACAACAGAAGTTAGTCATTGGCAGTGTAACCACAGAAGTTAGTCATCAGTGTAGCGACAGAAGTTAATCAACAACCTAACAGAAGTTCATTTACATAAAGAACTAGTTCGTGAGTGATTTACATTTTTAGATTAGTCATGGTAGTTTATAAAAAACTAATGATTAATTAATAACGGTTATGACATGTTTGTATAAATAATGATGACCTTTTCTTTTTTTAATTAAACGTGCGAATAGACTATAATTAAATATAGTCTATTCGCACGTTAAACGTGCGAATAGACACTTCAGGATTTTTTAATGTATCTAGAGCTCATTCAAGTTATTTTCGGTTTTTTGAGAAATATAATCGGTAGTCGAATATTTATCACATTTGAGTCGGGTAACTTTTAGTTTTGAAGACCTTTTTTTATTATTATTTTAATAAGCAGTTGGGTACTTTTTAAGAATTCGCACCTTCTCATTTCATTCCTAGATTTGCCTCTGAATGTGTACCATGATTTAAATAAATTAAATCAGTTTCTAATAGATATGTCGTTCATTCATAATGAACAACATATCTATTAGCAGGTGACACAAACTTTTAAAATAAAAGGCAAACCAGATATAAGTTAAAGTTACTCGCGTATGATTTATTAATAAAATTTTGTTTATGCAGCGTGAAAATTTTTGTTGAAAAACCAAGACATTCACATTTCCATCCTTACCAATGATGCATAGACCAGCATATAGTCAGAACCAGCTTCGAATCACGGACCTCTAGTTTTGAAGCCAGAACTCTAACCACCAGACTACAACTGCTATTTATAATACAGTGACCTTATATTGGTACTTAAGTCATATTTAGTGAATATAGCACTTGTAAAATATCTGCAAATACCAAAAATACGTTGATGCTATGCAAAATTAGGTATCCATAGCAACGAAACAAAATAATAACACCTTCATAAGAAGTATGGGCATCATATTAGTACTCATGCTAATTTTAGTGAATATAGCTCCTATTTATTAATTAGTTAAGAACTTAAAATTGAATTAAAATGAATTTTAGCCCACTGCGCTATATCAACCTTAACCCGGTGGAAAAAGAGCTAGCGTGAATAAAGTTATACAAGTCTGGAATGGAGTAGAAATTGGAATCTTTATTATCTTTGTAAACAATTAAAAAAAAGAGTTTACATTAAAGTTGGATAAATTGATTTATAGTTTGTGAAGATATTTTTAAACAACTTAACACGCGATTGGAATAGAAAATATAGACATCTTAGACATTTTTATGCGAAAACTAAAAGAGATAAAATAGGCTCTTAAAAATTGTTTCAAATATCTTTTAAAGATATGTAAGATTGCTTCAAATATCTATCAAAAATATGTAAGTTTGCTTCAAATATTTTCCAAAGATATGTAATATTGCTTCTAAAATCTTCCAAAGATATATATGAACGACAAGTTAAAACAATATATAGCCATTCTAAAAACGTTTTTATGAGAAAAATGCTGCATAAAAAAAAGTATAAGCTACATAATTATTTTTTATTAACTAAATATAAAATCTTTTATGTAAAACCTAACACAAAAATTAGTTCTTTGTGTTCTATTTGTTAGGCTGTTTCTCTTATGTATAAATATTAAAGTCTCATTTTTTAATTCAATCATATTTTTTGCTTAAATCAATTTGTTAAATCATAACTAAATGAAAAGTTAACTAACTTCATACTAAGCTTCATACTAAGGAACTAACCAAACCATACTACAATATATTGAATAAATGAAAAGTTAAACTAACTTATGAGCTTCATACTAAGGAACTAAGCAAACCATACTACAATATATTGAATACTTTTCAGATATCTTATAGTTGAATTAGATAAAAAAAAAAGCAAATTTTCGCTAAATAAATAATAAATAAATTAAACTGCTTAATACATCAGTTTTCTCAATTACAGTACATAAACATTTAACACCACAACATAAATAGAAGCTTTGAAAAAAAAATTAAAACTTAAAAACAAAAACTTTCAGTGTAAACAGGCTTTAAAAATCGCTGACCAAGTAAATCTCGATTTGTCGAAAGCGAACTTATAATTTATTTCTAAAGTATAAAACTTATATCAAAATCTTATATTAAATCCTATTGAAATTATTATAAAACAGCTGTTAGAAAATATGCACTTGACCGCAAGCCACACTAGATTCAAATAGTTTCATGCATGTTTTGTAAAAAATATTAGCTTGGATTTATAAACTGAACTATTTTATAATATTGTAGCATAAAAACATTTTCAACCCTCCTTTTACTAATCCCCCCCCCCCTCGTTTATTAGATCTGGACTAAATCACCCCCTCCCCTTGTATTAATGATTCGAGAGTACCATTCCTGATTTACTAGCAGACTATTCTTTGAAATCTGACAATGGAGATCCAGGTCATGCTAAATGAGCTGAAATTATAAGCTAAAGTATTCATATCAAAGATCCTACTGTATTAGCAATAAAAGAAAAGATTTTCGCAAGCATTAAAAAAATCTGGTTACATACTCAGTTCCAAAAAATCAGCTCCTATTACAACCAAAATATGAAGCTGGTCATGTCAAGTAAAGTTTGAAGCTAAAAGTTGAGGGTGGATAAGTCATTTAAAATTTAATATTATGAAAAGAGGTTTATAGAGAAATATAAAGTAAATACTTAAAGCTTCTAAAACAAGAGCGAATAAGACTGTTTGACGTTGCAGCATACAAGAGCGCATTGGATGACTGTCACAGCAAGATAGCAAAAATCCTACTGTTACACAAGCATTTCACAGAAGAAAAAAGTAAAAAAGGAAAAGTAACAAATTTTTAACAAATGACGAGCACCTTAAGATGCAATAAGCATCTTAAGATGCGATGTGTTATTTGATGGTTAAAGTTCTGACACTCCTAATGACAGCAAATCAGACACAGGTTATGAAAGTGAAGGTAGCGTTAAGACAGTCAGTCTCTGTAAAAGAAAATGCCTTAGCAACTAAAATTTTTAATCATTTAAAACATCATGAGTGTGGCCGCAAGTTGGTATACTTACCATAAAACGTTTTAAGGAAACTTGAGATAAAATTCCACCAAAAGGACCAAGGAGAAACAGTAGTTCGAATCAAAAAGTTCATAAAGATCACTCACGAACGAACTAGACGCAATCCAGTTCAATCAGGATGATTAATTGCTTATTTCGCAGCCAATCTTAAAACCATCAAAAATTTAAATAATAAGGACTTAAAATTGAAAGCTTATTAAAAAAAAATATCTGCTGGTCTGACTAACAGAATTCGAGCGAATTAAGAGATACTGACTGATAAAAATTGTTGGTTGCCAACCAATAATTTTTTCTGATAAAAAATTAAACAGCAGCTTTACTTAAATGACATTTTGAAATCTCAGGTGAAACCTCATCCTGATAAACTGTTTGGAAATTGTCCATATATTTTTGAGCAAGATTCAACCCCCGCGTATAAAGCAAAAACTGTTTAAGTAAGGTATGAGAAAAACTTCCCTTGTTTTATATCAGTGTCAGAATGGCCCGCTAACAGTTGAGATTTGAACCCTTTAGATATTTTTGCATGGAATTACACTTTGAAAAAACTAAAAAATGTGGAATGCAAAAATTTAAATGATTTCAAGGTTTTACTTGTCAAAATTTGGGATAAAATCTCTGACAATATTGTCCCTGCTAGCTGTGATAAGTTCATGTGCGTATTAATATATAAGAAGAAATACCGGTAATAATTACCTTTTGTAATAAATATTATCTTTACTTTCAAAAAAAATAGTTTTTTATAAACCACACAGTGCTCTAGTTTGACGGACACAAAACATATAGGACATTTGTAAATCCCTATCGTGTAGTTATGTTAACTGCTGATATTCAATTATTTGCAAACAAGACTTTTACTGTTTACTTTTACGCGCCATATATTATTATTAATGAAATATTCATTTTAAATATGAACCAATTTTGATATACTATAACCAAAATTTTCAGTTTTTTATCAAAAGTATACTCACGGCTAATACAAGCATGGTGTTAGAAACGATAGAGTTAAAAATAAACCGTTAGAAACGATAGAGTTAAAAATAAACCGTTAGAAACGATAGAGTTAAAAATAAACCGTTAGAAACGATAGAGTTAAAAATAAACCGTTAGAAACGATAGAGTTAAAAATAAACCGTTAGAAACGATAGAGTTAAAAATAAACCGTTAGGTGGTTAGAGTTTTGGCTCAGAACGAAAATGTAAGAGCTTCATGCCAGTTTAAAACCCACACAATAATAGAAAAATCCACACAATAGTTGATGATTACAAAAAAATATCAATAATTAAAAATTAAAAAAAGGTACTTTAATACCTCTAGCCCATTATTTTTGGACCATAACTTTTTTTTTATTTTGAAATTTGAAAGTTCTTAACCAAAAATGCAATTTTTCATTTCAATGCATTCTTTTGATTACTCAATACTTTTATAATAGTGTGCGTAACGAGATTCATGATTATTATCGTGTGCATAACCATATAGTCATATATTTCGTCAAAGTGAAACTTTAACTTTGACGAAATAAATGTCGCTATTACGAAATAATTAAATCTATCAGTGATAATAAGTTTTACTGTGAAACTTATTATCACTGATAGATTTAATCCGCCGTTTTTGGCTCGTGCCAACCTCCTCTCTAAGAACATTAAAATGCATTTACTATTCTAATGTCGAAAAACTCACAAGCATAATTCATCATAAACACTTAATAATTGAAAATTAAAACATTAAAAAGTCAGTTTTGGAATGATATCTAAAAACCCGAATCTGTATCTTTCCACATCCAAAGAAGTCAGCTGATATATAAACATATAACTGTTGCTTTTTTACCCAACGCAGAACGATCATTCTCAGACAATGATCGTTTTTAGTTATAAAATTGTTTTTATTTTTAGCTATTAAGGTGCTCCAACAAGACCTAACGGTCTTATCACATAGCACCACGGTCTTATCACAGAGCACCACGGTCTTATAACATAGCACCACGGTCTTATCACATGGCACCACGGTAGAGCACTTAACAAGGATCTTCACGCTTTCTTACCAATATCGCTTATATGACCGTAACGTTGAACTTCAACCATTGAACCTGACGATTGCGCCACGGCTGGTTTTTATAACGTAGGAGTTGAGAAAAACTATTTGTAAGAAATTAAAAAAATAGTCTAAGGGATTAAGAGAAAGAAAAAGTTATGTTTACAAAAAAAAAAAAAGTAATACCTTTTTTTTATTGATGCGCAGCCAAAAAATAATTTTACAAAGTTAATACTTACACATTCTGTAAATATATGGTTGCTACCAGAGTTTTAATATTTTTTTAATGGTGGCATTTTCAATCTTAATTCTTACATTTTTTGAACATTTAAAGTTTGAATCTTTAAATTTAACTTTTCAATTTAGTTCTACTATGCGTGTTGAGACTGATGACTATTGAAATGTTGATGATTAACGCCAATTTATATACTTGAACAATATTATAACCATTCACGTAAACCAAAAAACTTTGATAGAATTATTATCTGGTATCTTGCATTATTTTCTTTGTCATAACAAAACACAAAAATAAAATCAAAATTTATGAAATCGAAAGTTAGTGTTTTTTTTTTTTTTTTTTATTCAAAATAAAAATAAAAATACATTTTAAATACTGGTTCTGTTATTAAGTAAATAAACTGATAGTTTTCATCAAAACTATCGATGAACTTTAAACAAAATATTGACAATTCTTTATCGCCTTTTTATGACGATTGTTATTATAGTTCATTTTCATTCGGTTAATTGGTTTAATATAACCTATCTGACTAAAAAATAAACCTCGATTGATTTATCGATAAAAGAATCTCTATAAATAATTCATTGTAAAAAAAAATTCCTAATTGGATCTTCAAATGGTACTTATTTTTCAAAAAATAAAACTTACGTATTTATTTAAGTAAAAATATCAATCAGCTCTAGGCTGGTTTTAAATATAATTTTAAAACATATTAATATTTTATGTTTTTTACACAATTTTTGTTTTTACACAAAATAGTTTAAAACATAAAAATTAATGCTGTTTAACGAAAGAAAACAGTTTTTTTGTGTTATGAACGAGCTAATTATATCTGTAAATTCGAAAAATGTTCATGTAAGTGAAATCTTTTTTAAACACTTATTTTTTAAATATATATATATACTAACTAAATATTTTGCTCTATAGTCTTTGCAGTAACTGTCATAAAATTAAAATCAAATTTTCTATGTAATTAAATATGACACACAAAATGTCATTTTATGCTATGTAAATATTTCTCAACAAACATTTTATGAACTTAACTAAATCTTGGTAGATTAGCTATAAAAATATTTGGTAATGATCAATAACCCTTTAGAACCATTAACCCCTGAGGATTTAAAAGTAACAAAAGTTATTTACCTAGTTGCTAGAGCGTTGAATTTTTATCTACTGGTAAAAAAATTAAAAATATTCCTAAAACTATACCCATACATTATAATCGTTAATGTGAAGTATAAAACGTTAAATATTATATTATGATAAGCAAAAAAGCAGTTAACTAAAAGTAATTTGTTAGTAAAGTTGCCAATGACAACATGAACTTTTAGTTTATATAACAAAAATAACAAAAGAAAAAAAAAAAAAGAAAAAAAACACTAAAACAAAAAATACATAAAAGGCTTATAATGAAAAAAATGTTATTTTTAAAACCGGTTTGTATAAGTAATACAAAAAGAATTTTTTTACAAATACACATCAGTCGTTTTCAAAAATTATTGTTTTTATCCGTTTCTTTACCAACTAGGGCTAGACTGTCTTCATTTTGTTCAAACTGCTGTGCAAGTTGAATAAAAAGCTTCGAAATACTCTTTGCAGTGTTGCTAAATAAACTAAAGCCACAGGTGTTTAACTCTTGCTGCGGATTGTAAAGATAATCAATAACATCAGAATATATACTTCGTCTCTTTTTTATCTCAAGAAGTCATCCTTCATTTCTACATTTAATACTAGACTTTATAGTGATAATTCGTCCACCATGAGTTTTAATGTGACATCAGTTGTTCTCAAATTAGCATTGGCACACGTTTCAACTGCTACTTTGATTGGTTGCAATACGCAGACCAAAAAATAAATTTATTTCTGCAGAATAAAAGTTAAAGTCTTCTTCCAAATCAATAAAACTTTTTCGGACATAATTGCGCAACTTGTAAAATCGCTCGAGTATTTCTAGGAGACTGTTCCACCTGGCTTCTAGAAGGCTGTTCCACCAGGTTACGGTTCCACCTGGCATTAGAATATAAAATATTTCTTTTCCTAGCATGTCTTTTACATTTCTTTGTAAAATGGAATTCTTTTTAGTGTGAGATTTTTTGAATGTTTTCACGAGTTTTTTGATTTTTTCTATCAAAGAATAAATATCAAAAATTTTAATATGAATTTCAAATGATATACCAATTGAACAATTATTCCTGTTCAGTTTTCTCATTAGAATCATAATAAATTTTATTTATTTTTGTTATTGGGTCATTTTTATTTTCTTGCTTCCAAGTACTATAGTTTTTTTTTGTGTGTGTAAAACTTTAAGTACAGGTTGAATGCCAAGTGCTATTCGTGTCACGTGCTATAGAGAATTGGTATTGAATCTGTGAAAGTTGTCCAAATCGTTTCATTACTACAGCTCCATCAGCAGTACTAGTATTGCTGATGGAGGTCTTGCCAGTATACTGGCAACACAGTACTTTAAATCAAGGTTAAACAATTTAGACTTCAAAATTTCCAAACATCTATCTGCAGGTATCCGTGTACTCGGATAAGACCAAGATTACAAAAATTACCATTTGCACAAACCTTATTATTTACATATCACCGATTCTTCAGTGATGTCCACTATTTAATATTAAATTGAATTTCATACCTTGTACTTTTAAAAGTTGCAATCCATGAGTCATTTTTTAAATTATATTTTCTCTATAGTCCATCACAATTGGTCTGTACGCCCAAAGTGAATATTATCAATTATTAATAATATCTTAATGGAATTATACCAATCGTTAATAATGTACAAATGGATTTGATTGTGTAGCAATTATTGCACCATTCATTTATTAGAAATTCGTTTCGTAATCGGTATATTATTTATATTTTCTTTCCTATCTTGTGATAGTAATATAGGTAAACATTTACAGTGGCACATTAAATATTTAAAGACGCCTGATGCGTTTTTAGTATAACCAAGTCCTCCTTTAGAGGAAAATTGAATAAATAAACAAACTTTGATAGTTTAAAATTTAATTTATTTAGGATAATACATAAATTAGTTTATAAACATATAAAAGAAAAAAAAAAAAAAACGAAAAAACGACAAGGCAATTATTAAATGATATTAAATAAAAATGCTTGTATTAATATCGGTATTCAGGCAACAAACACCGGTAATACCAAGCATTATTAAATAAACAAATGCTGGTACTACCGTTAATACCGAAAATGGTTTTGCATGTCCTAATTGTACAGCATAACATCCTTTTTGTCAAAATATAGTTTTACATTATTTATTTAAAACTATTTAGTCCCAAAATGGCAGAAGAAAACGCAAAAAATTGTTAAATTTAAACCCGAAATTTTAAAAGAAACTATAATTTTTTTTTTTTTCATAGTTGTAAACAAACAAAAAGCTTTTAATTATGTTGTCAAGACATGCTGATGACGTCACTTATTTATTTTATTCTTGTTGTGATATAAAAAAGAATATTTAAAATAGTCAAGAAAGATCTTTTTAATAATTAAACAGTTTTATACAAGTAAAATGTCAGTAAACTTAACTAAAACTAAGTATATCTTTTTCGATTGGCTTTATCAAAGAGACAAAATTCCCCTAAAACTCCCAAATTTTAGCATTTGGAATCTCAGGTATGAAATATAGTAATCAATAATGACATTAAAACGCATGCAATTTTAACTATCAAAACTAAAATGAATTAATTTTAAACATTGAAGACGTAGAGGATCTCTAGGAACTACATTCATCAATCGTAAAAATATCATATGATATATTTTCACTTTATATGCAAATACTTAAGCTAAATAAATGTTTTATTTTATTTTTATTTTGATCACAATACATGAATATAAATATTTTATTAATTTTTTTAAGTTCATATTACTTTATTAAATCTGTATATACGAACATATATTACTTAAAATATGGTAGGGCTTAATGATAAAACAACCATATGTCTTATTTTTGCCCCTGCCATTTTTAGATATTATAAAAACAAAAACTACAAATAGTGTTTTAACAAAATTGTATCGATATACGCTTTAACAAACATAAAATTTGAAAATTTGTTAAACATTTGCGGTCATTAGCACGTGGATTAACATTACGGTTGTACCTTTTAACTGCCCATATTCAAAACCTAAATCGATGTACGCACACTCACTAAGCATATAATCGCATAAATCAAATAAATACCCGTAGTTTTCCCAATTTGCCTACCCTTTATAAATCCCAATTTGTGAACGCGAGGGAAGCTTAACATTAGAATCGGAGTTCGAAGTATAGAGACAAATGTATAAATAACTTTTTTTTTAAATTTAAACTAAAAATGTTTTAAACTAAAACTTTTTTTTATAGACAAGTATAGAAAAAGACGCCTTTTCTATATTTACGTTACTCTAGCGTCATTTTTTTAAACAAAATATACACTCTTGAGAGACTAGACTGTAGACTAATATGAAACCACCATATACATATTCATATTATTAAATAGTAAATATTTTTCATTTAAAAAATATTGACTTATTTTTCTTATTTTTGTTAAAAATATTTTAAAGTTTCACAAATTCAAAATAATTGTTTTAAAAGTCTTTCAAACAATAATTGTCGCGTGATTGTCTGAGGTTTAAAAAATTCCCTTCAAAAGTTTTAAACTTTATTATAAATAAATGTAAAATAAGGTATTTATTATATTCTACAAAAATATATGGAAAAAAAAAATTACAATGGAAACTATGTTTAATAGAAGACTTTTTATATAATACACTCTTACGTACATATACGTATGCACATGCAAACGAAAACATATGCACTTACAGTGTGAGTTTTTTTAGCTTAACTTATTTTTGCTTATTTTCATTTAGCTCGAAAAAGTAACCACATAAATGTCATTAAATGCTACTAAAACAAATTTAGAAGAATCTTATAACGCTGTTGAAATTCTCATCATAGTGTTATTTTCAATAATCTTTGCACTTGGTACCGTTGGTAATTTTTTTGTCTTTTTTTATTTTGGAGTAAAAATACGACCTGCTATACCAGAGTTCTTGTTTTGCGCCCTAGCAGTGGTAGATTTTTTCGCTTCTGTTTTCAACCCACTTTTATATGTATATTGGACTTTAACACGGTATAAATGGTACTTTGGTTATTGGGCGTGTAAATTTCTAGTTCCAATTGGAACAATCGCTACAACAATGTCGGGTGGAATATTTATCGTTTTATCATTTGATCGTCAACGTACTATTGTTTATCCTTTTAAAAGACACTTCAAGCTAGTTTATATTAAACTTAGTATTTTTTTGATTCTAATATATGCCCTAGTAATGAACGCACATTATGCCTTACATATAACTTTAAATGTTGAAACAAACAAATGTGGTGTACCTGACACAAGAAAAAAAACCTACCTTGTGCCTAGCATTTTTTACTTTTTTATTAATGTGTGCACTCTTTTTGTTGTCATTAACTTTACAAATTATCGCATATTTTCAAAAATGGTTAACCAAAGCCCGACAAGCACGCTATTTTTAGGTAGCGGGGCAAAAAGACGCAAGAAAGATAATTATAGGATAATACGGTTGTTAATTGCGCTGACAACAGTTTTTTTTCTTTTAACAGTACCACGTGACATTTTTCAATTTGTTTTTTTAATCAGTTGGAGTTTTGGTAATGGTTTACGCATTTCAAAGTCAATTTTGACTTTAAACTCGTTTTTAAAAGTCTTTAATGTGGCTAATTCTTGCATAAACCCATTGATATATTATTGGATGCACTTTGGTTTTAAAAGATTTATAATGCAAAGTTGTGGTATTAAAAGTAAAATGTTGATTAGAGGAAGAACTAGCGAATTTAATTCAACAAAACGATTTTCAATGTCGAGCCTAAAAAATAATTTTAATTAAAATGTGTTTCTACTTTAAGTTTTTGTACTTTAATTGGTTATAAACAATAAATAATGACAAATACAAAAAGTATCATCGTTATAACGTTGGTTTAATTAAGGTGTAAATATGTGCAAAAATATTCATAACATTTTTAATTTTCATTTTTTCTTCTTATTACTTACTTTAGGTTCTTTTGTAACTTTTATGACTTACTAAAAAACTTTTTTTTTCATCATTGGCTAGTAGCTAAGCAGGGGTGGATCCAGCATTTTTTGGTGTTTAAGATAGCTAACTTCCAGACATGTAGCTAACTCCAAACATTTATATGTTTATACTTATGTCAAATAAGGATAATTTGCAAAAAATTGCAATAATTGGAGCCTGGGAACAAAAAAGCCCCAAAATTTGAGACGTACCTGCCCCAAACGTGAGAGCAACAAGTTGATAAAATATTTTTTGTACTATTCTCAACAAGACTTATATTTATCAATAAATTTTAAATTTCATCGTAAAATATTTTAGCCCTCAAAAATTATGACCATATAAAAATTGTAACCCCCTCGAATTGAGGGGAATTCAAACTTTACATGGTCATAATATTTGAACGCTGAAATATTTTACAATGAAATTTTAAATTTATGGACAAATATAAATCTTGTTGAGAATAGTACAAAAAATATTTTATCAACTTGTTGCTCTCACGTTTGGGGCAGGTACGTCTCAAATTTTGGGGCTTTTTTGTTCCCAGGCTCCAATCATCGCAATTTTTCGCAAACCATTCTTATTTGATATAAGTATAAACATATAAATGTTTGGAGTTTGCTCCATGTCTGGAAGTTAGCTATCTCAAACACCAAAAAATGCTGGATCCGCCCCTGGCTAAGTACTAAAAAGTTTCAAACTTAACAAACAAAAAAAATTTTTTTTAATGCAAATAGATAATCCGGTTTTGAGATAAAACCGTTTACAAGTTTAATGATCACGAAATGACGTTTACAAGTTTAATCATCACGGAATGACGTTTACAAATTTAATCATCACGATCTGATATTATAATAGTTATTTTATAACAATGTAAACTAAAATCTGAACCACTTTTATATTTACATATCACACAAAGTTATAACAATTTTCTTTAGAACTAGTAACTTTCACACTTTTTCTTGCCTTTTTAAGTATTATAAATACAAATCTGAGTAAGCGAGATCCATTAATGAGGGTTAATTTATAGCTAACAATGACTTTATTAAGCTAAGTAACAAAGAAAAATGTCAAGGAGTGTTTTAAAGTAAATAGTATGAATAAACAAACAAATTATGTGATAGAGCATTTTTAAACAACCAGATAAAATTTTCATTATAATAAGGAAAACTAGTTCAATGGAATCCATAACTATATAACTTATACGACTTATCTCCAGGGCCGTCTTTAAACATGTCCAGCCTAAGCAGCCGCTGCGGGGCCAGGGCATTTAGAGAGGCCAGCAAGGAATCAAAATTTTTTATAATAAACTATAATAATAAAAATAAAAATGCAATGGCGCTTTTTTTAATTATTCAAAACGTTTTTTATTTACTAAAACAACAACTCCAACATGAATAATTTTTTTAATTTTTTTTTTCGTCAAGATTACCCACCGATTGAATTAGAAAAAAGTTCTCTTTTAACAATTTTTTTATACACTATACTTTTCGAGTTTAATGTATTTCGACGATAAGAAAAGTTTACGAGATCAAGCAAATACAAATATATAAATACATGGCTGGGCAAGAAAAGACAAATTCAGTCTTACTTAAATTCAGTCTTAAAGGTTTTTGATGCAAAATTGCATCAAAAACCTTTTGCGTTGGTAATTATTCATTTGGATATATTACACTGTAAAATTGCTTAAAATATGTTTTTTTTTATTTTATTATTTAGCTATGTATTTAATTATTTATTTAATTATTTTTCTTTCATTTTAATTCTTTCTTTTGTCTAAAATCTATTTGAGACAAATCAAAGAACTTTTAAGAATTTTTTTTTATAAAAATTAAATTTTTTTTTTCAATCTATGTTGGTGAAAGTAAATTTGTTTGTTGCATTGTACACGTCTGGGATGAAACTCTGTGACGGATCCAGAATGGACATCCTATCTCCCTAGATCCGTCCCTGCTCTGTTGAGTCCGTAAACAAAAACATGACAAATTGACGTCTATTGAGGTATCTGACTTTATTGGGAAAGGAAAAATGGTTTTTGAAGTTATAATTTCAGGTCACCATGCATTAACTTTTAACTAAGATTGAAAGGTGAAGACAAGCTTATGCTTCTCTTTTTTCGGATTCTTTGTCCGTCTTTTAGATATGGATTCTGTTGTGATCACAGCGTGCGCTATTTATATGCGGATATTTATATTCTGAATAAAAAACTGCATTAAAAGAACATTTTAACTTCCTAATTTAGTTGAAACTAATATTAGTGAATCCAAAAAAACAAATCATCTTAATTTACTTCTTGTTATTAATCAAGATGATCTAAAGACGGGCCTTCTTATCTCCTATAATTATACGACTTATCTCCTATAACTATACGATTTATCTCCTATAATGTCTTTGTTTTATTTTGCATACTATTTTCCTTAGTCCTTTTTATACTTTTCTGCATCTTTTTAAAGTTTCAGTTAATTTTTTATGGTGAATTAAAGTATTATTGTTGTCCACGTGGAAGCTTTTTTTCAAAAAACTTCCACCTGGACATTTATTGTTTGAATGGACTATTTGAAAATTGGAACAAAAAAGTTCCAAGTTTCAAATAATCCTTTTAGACACCTAATAATATTTTGCATTTTTTCTTGGAGGTGTTTTCTAAGAAATAAGTCTTTACTTAAACTATATCGATATGGTTTAATCTATGATGTTTACAATTTGCAGAGTAAACTAGTGAAAAAAGTTATAGAACAATGAGAAAACTTTTCAAAATTGAGAATCCAAAGGTATCTATCCATCTTATCTAAGAAATATTCTCAAATTAATTGCAAAACGATTTTTTTTATTTAATTAGCCGTTTAAAAACAATTACAATAACCAGATATGTTTAACATTTTGCAATAGCAACGACAGGAATTCTATTAAATCACAAGGATCTTATCATGAAGTCCTTTACAATATATGGTTAGTTTTGATCTAACTACATTTATATTGTATAATGTATAGAAATAAAAAACTTAAAATAAATCCTTAAACAAATATAGAACAACAACAAGCTATTTATTTTCCGTAAATCGTTTTTACAATAGTATTAATAATAACAATAATAATAGTAATATTAACAATAATATATAATAATATTATTAGATAACAAAATTATTACAATACATTATAATGGTAGTAATAAGCATAAAATTACTTATAATAATAAGTTAATAATTTATTAGAAAGGTGTCACTCATGCAGAAATCTGATCAAACGAGTGATATCAATTTCTAAGTATAATATAAGTATTAATAAGCAAAGACATACTTTGAAACACATGAATCGCAAACACATAGATTTAAGCACATAGAACATACATTATAAATAAACATGTAGAAATCATAATTCGCACGTTACAATATTAAAGAAAAGAAAAAAAATAAACAAACAAAAAGTACTGTTGATAATTGTGTAATAACAAAAAGAAAATTAAAAGAATAATTCAATAGCAAGGATAAAAATGTCTAAAAATTAGAATAAATGTTTTTCAGAATTTTTTTAAATTATTTTTGTTTAAGATATTTTAGGATGTAGTTTTTAGGATGTAAAAGGTATTTTAGGTACTCATTCAAAATGCATTCAATGCTCCTGTTCCATTCACAGACGCACTGATAAACAATAGAATGTTTACCATACTTCTGGGTTTTAAAAGTTGGTACATTTAGTTTTCCATTGTATACATTTCTAGTAGAGTAGGAATGTACTAGTCTACTTTCTGTGAACAAGTTTGTAATGGAAGATGGTAAATTTTTATTTAAGTAGTCAAAACAAAAAGAAGATTAACATACTTTACAAGCGCTGGAAGTGTTGGAGTGTTAAGTATTTTGAAGGACTCCAATGTATCTAACTTAACTGGTTGGAAGCTTATTGGAAGTCTAATGGATAGCTTATTGGAAGTCTAAAAGATTTACAAAAAGTTTTCAATACCATTGACCATAGTTAGGCCCTTGTTTTGAGACGCAACTTGTTAATGCGATAGTTTCCAACTTGACCCCAAACTTGACAACAATAGCTAAGATGAGATGAGAATAATGCATTGTAAATACTTTTAAGTATAATTTTATCGGTTAAATGACGAATTATTGGAATCATATTGTTAGCTTGAGATTAGCTTTCTTGCTTAGTTCATCAATGTGAAAGTTTCATAAAAGATTAATTAACACACCAAGATATTTAATAACTCTTGAAGAATATAGCCGTTTTCTATTAATTTTGATTTTGATTTCAACATTTTAAAGAAATAGTTTTTTCTCGTAGATAAAAAAAAAATCAGTTTTTTCGTTGTTAAGACATATCAGGTTAGAATTTAACCAGTGAACTATAACTTTTAGATTCAAATTTGTATTACTATATAAAGAATGATACAATTTGTTGATATGAAAGAGATTTGTATCATCAGAAAACAAATGAGCTGACGAGATGTGAACAGAGTTGGTTAGGTCGCTAACGTAGATTAAAAACAAAAAAAGATTAAGAACAGAACCTCGAGGAACACCACAAAAAACTAATTTATTACTAGAATTGAAACTACTAATACTCATTTGCATTTGTTTTCAATCTGAAAGATAAAATTGAAACCAGTCATTTACATTACCGCGAAATCCAGGTTCAAATTTAGAAATCAAAACACTATGGTCAACGGTATTGAAAGCTTTTTACAAATCGATAAAAACACCACAAAGTAACCAGAATCATAAGCAAGTAGAATGCTTTAATTGAAGACCAAGTTGAAATCATTTAAAAAATTAAATTGTTTAATTACAAAAATTAAAGGATTTTACTTGCCATGCATTAATAAGTATATCAGAAAAAATCAGGAAAGCTTATGATTCTGGCCACTTTGTAGTGTTTTTATTGATTTTCAAAAAGCTTTCAATACCATTGACCATAGTTAGGTTTAATGATTTTTTCGGATTCAATTTAGATATAAGAGATGAAGTTTTAAGAATATTTGTTAGAGATAATAATAAGTTATGTAAATTTGGATATTAAAGATACTTTTGACTATCAAAAGTACAACCAATAAATATTGGATTTGAGTTTATAATTTTTATTATGTTTATAAATTTATTGCTGTTAAATTTGATAATTTATAAAGAGCTGTGACGAAGTGTTTAGAATTTTAGGCAAAAGGTTCAACGCTGACTCTAGCCCAATAAGAGACATCTGTATGGAAGGAGGCGTGATCTTCCTAGTAATATTTTTTATAATATATTTGCTCTATAATTAAACCGTAAGGACTTCTGGAACCATTTTTATTACCAGACATAAAAAAAAATATAATTGTGTATACTATTAAAATGTCAATGAAGTATGAATCTTTGTGTAACACTGCGTGTTCTATTCATTAATAGCTGAAATCTTTGAAGTTTGAAAAGAAGTATATAAAATCTTTGAAGCCTGGGTACGATTATGCCAAAAATTTAAGAGGCTTAAAAAAATGCCAAAGCTAACAAATTTGTGGATTTTTGTATGTCTTGTATGCAAGAAAAAAAAATTATTTTATTCCTGTAAATACAAATTTTTCTTTTGCAACACAATACCTTAATTAAATGGTTTTCATGCAAAGATACCTTTACATTTTGTGCTTAAAAAGATGCGTTATTTAGTGTAAAGCTAAACAATATGCTTATCATTTAATTATTTTTTTATAAAAAACATGAACCTGTTTATAATAATTTAACCAATCGTCAATTTAAAAAAAAGTTGCCTGCAGTCAAATAAAAATGTAAATTTAATTACTTGGTGTTTGATTATACATTATGGCTAAAGTACATATTTTAAAAACATGTTTTTAAAATATGTACTTTAATAACAAATAAAAATGAAACAAAACAATTTGTTTGTAGATTATTAAGTCTAAATACAGTTTATATTGTTTTTTAAAGGTTACCATCATAAAAAAAAAGTTTTTTATATCAACTTTCTCAAAAATTTTCCCTTACAACCTTCTCAAGGATTGCAATTATCATTTATAGCTTTTCGGATGCTTCTTCTAATATCCCTGATGCCTATTTAAACAATTTCAAAAACAATTTTGGTCTGGAAAATCACTTTATACGTTTTTTTTAGGCATAAATATAGTAGTTAAATTCAAAAATTTAAGTAGTTTTATTTTACCAAAAGAGCAATCAAATTTTTTACTGCGTGTAAACAATATCTGCCATTTAGAGTTTGTATAATTCGTTGATCCTTAGATTTTATTTGGTGGAAAAAAAGGTAAGCTTCACTCAATTAAGTTTTTTTTTTTTTTTTTTTTTTTTTTTTTGCCCGTTAGGATAAGCAGATCAATTAAAGCAGTTTTTCTATTCTAAAAATTATATCTTTGGTCAATTTTTTTTTTCAAAATTTTTACGCAAACATTGGTAAAACAAATCAAACTTGTTCGAATTAAAACATTTTGATTGGGAATCGAGAGAGAATTTTTGGCAGTGTGGTTTCAAGCCATGAAATGATGGCTTGTTCATTAACGGTCTTGTCTCCCTCATAACATTTTTGAAAGGTATGCCATGCTTACAGAAAGCAATAGGAATAGTTATTACTTTACCGTGTAACTTCAACGTCTATATTTGCTTTATTTTTTTGAAGTAAACAATGGAAAAAGCTGTAAAACGATCATATACTTAGGTCGTTAGGAAAGTTCGTAGAACTTCCCTATAAAAAAAAACAAAAAAAGTTTTTTTTAACTTTATTTTATTCAATGTTCAAAATTATCTATACAAAGTTGAATTCTTTCAAGCCATTTCGGAAATGTTTTTTTATACTCTTTTTTGGGTATACTTTCAAGTAGCTTCGTTATGCAGGTTTTTTTTCTTTCGACGTCAGTATCGTCATCAAGTTTTTTTTTTATCAAGTCGAATAGCCAATATTCAGATGGAGCTAAGTCTGGTGAGTATGGTGGGTAGCGAATTATTGTAACTCCAGCTTGATTTAGACAATTTGTGACGGTTTGAGTTACATGGGTTCGAGCATTATCATGAATAAATTTGAAATTGTGAGTGCCTGTTTTAGGTCTTTGCTTATTTATTTCAAATATAAGAGGTTTCAAACAATTTTTTGTATAATATTTGCTTGTAATGGGTGTCTCTCTTTTCAACATAACCCAAATGAACAACACCTGTTGTTTTGAAGACATAGAACATGCTTTTTGGCTGAAACTTATCGCATCTTACTATAGTTCTTGGACTTTCACCTTCACCGACCCAACTAGCGTTATCTGACTTGTGTCCAGCTTGTCTTAAATAAAACCACGACTCATACCCTGTATCAATATCTTATAGTTTCCATGGGCTGTTTTTGAAACTGGATAAATTTTTCTTACATGCCTCATCTCTATTCTTTCGATTTTGATTGGTTAACTCGTAAGGCATCCAAAGTGATGTTAGTTTTCTTTTTTTAAGTGCATTGTAAATGATTTTGTTGATTGTAAAACGATTAATCGATGTCAAAGCTTCAATTATATCATGTGTTGCATGTGGATTTTCTTCAATAATGACTTGCACACGTTCAATATTCTCAGCTGTATACGTGGTTTGAGAGTGCCCTGAGCAATGATCATCTTCAAGACTCTCTCTACCATCTTTGAATAAAGTAGCCCACTTTGCAACTGTACAATATTTTGGAGCTTGATCACCATGAACTAAAACCATTTCATCGGTTATGGCTTGTGCTGAAACTCCAAGTAAAGCACTGCTATTAATATATGCTCGATATTCAAGTTTTTCCATTTTTAAATTTTTTCTTTCAAACATATATAATAAAATTTAAATAACTTTTTTAATAAACATTCAAAATATTCAAAACATTCAAAATATTTCAACAAGTACTTAAAACAATTATAATTAAACACAGTTTAAGATGATATATAAATATTTAATTATTTTCTGTCTCATAGTATTTTTTTAGATAAAGTTCTATGAACTTCTCTAACGACTTAAGTATTATCGGATGCTTGAAAATTTCCAAACTTAACACCTTCGCAAGATAAATAAAATGTTTATTTTATTAAATATACAAAATTATTAATTTCTAGATTTTATCTTTACTCATTTTCAAGGTGTTAAGGTGTATTTTAATAGTAATCTGGATTACTACTGGATTACTAATCTTTTGAATACTTATTGTTTAGCTCTACAATCTACAACCTTTTAGAAGTGAAAAATAGATTCTATTTTTCACCTCTCCCATGTCTCCCAAAAAATAAAAATGAAGTGAAAAAAAAAGCAAGAGTAATGAAACTTTTCATAAACTTTTTTATTTTAACTATTTTTCAAGGTGTCTCCATTTTTTGCTGTAGGTTTTCGAAACCTTTTTATTTGTTATTCCTATCTCCATTTCCAGTAGAAGTATGCGTCATCTTTCCGCTTTAAATAGTTTTTTGTGGAATGTTTTTGATTCTATGATTACTTTTTAAATTAAAATTAAATTTTTTACGTTTATTCACCTCTCCATAGCCAAGATGCCATTACAGTCAAAGAGACTACGTAAATTGTGATTATAATCCTCTCTCAACTATATGACTCCGAAATACAAACTTTGACGAACAAGGCTGCTGCGCGGAGAAACAAGTTGACTTTAATAAATGTTTTCTTGAGTAAATTGGATGTGGGATTTCTATGTCAAATTTTCATCTAGAAGCAGTCCTAAGAAGCTAACGGTAGATGTCCCTTTAATAACTGTTATCTTGAGTAATTTACTAGGCAATTTAAGTCGAATTTAATCAATTTTATAAGGTTTGCAGAACAACATAAACTTATTTTTATAGATTTAGTGAAAGCCGGTTACTTCTAAACCATTCATTTACTTAAATATAATTCTTAAATAAATATTTTAAAAAGACTTTTTTAGACCTTTGGAGTCATTGGAGTTTAATAGTTTTATTGCTAGATATATCTCTCATATATATATAGCAAACGATGCATTATCTACGAAAAAAATTAGATCAAAAGTTAGATTAAAACAAACGAAATTAAACGAAAAACTAAAATTAATTAAACCAACTACGAAAAAAATTAGATAAAAAAAAACCTTATAAGGAACTCTTTATATGTAAGTTATTTATGTACACTAAAAGTAATAATAATATATTTGGAGATCATTGAGGAACTCTCCGCGATATGTGGTTTTTTTCTTTTTCTTTCGTTGTTTACAGTTTGTTAAGTACCAATCACAGTAAGTTTAGGTTTTTAACTCCATAAAATTTTAATTTCTGTATAAGGGTTTTATAAATAACGATGTTAACAGCTTTCGGCTAATCAATGAAAACTCCTACTGTATTGTAATCCTTTTAAAAAGTATCCGATATGTAATTAACTAGTTCAATTACCACGTGATTCGTGAATTTATTTTTAATTAAATCTAAATTGTTTATAATACAAAATAGTGTTTGATGTTAAATGGTTATAATAATAATGCGTTCTAGGTACATAATAAACACAAAAAGGTTAAAACAGAAATAAGTCTTTAGTTTGAAACATTTTTATTGTGACTAGTCTTAAAATTTGGTGTGATTTTTTCAATTTCATGTTTATCTGGTACAATTCCAGAAGTTAACAAAAGATTAAAAGTATGGAACAAGGAGGATTCAGTATTCTTAAAGATTAATTTAACTAAAATAACACTAACTTCATATATATCTGCACTTTTTTGTGATTTTTTAGAGTGTAGAAAGCATAACAAATCTCACTTCATACTTTGATTAAATTCTGCCATAATAGTATCATAGTAGCTTTCAGATAAGTTTCAAAATCTATGGTGCCTGTCGGAATTTTAGCTGCTAAATTAGAGTCAAACTCAAGATAAAAACTGTTTCATTTTTTTAGCCATTTTTTTTCTCTATAAATATATATAAATATATAAAAAATCTATAAATCTATAAATTACCCAGTAGGCGCAGAATTTATTTTATACAGAATTTATTTTATACGTACTAACATGATTTTTACACATAAAAATCATGTTAGTACGTATGTTATTACGTATTTTAGACGTCTAAAACAGTCTTCTGCCCAATGGGTAGTTTCTAAGTTTTTAGCAAAATGTTTTTAACATGTACATTTTATACCAGTAACTTTGTCAAATTTTTTTATTAAAATCCAGCCATTATTAAGATCCAGCCATTATTAAGATCCAGCCATTAACACTAAGCTTTATTTCTTTATAATTAAACTTTAAAGAAAATTGTCCTCTATTACAAAAATTCTTAAAACCAGAGTTTAAAATCAAAGTAATACGTAAAATCAGTTATATAACATTACAACTATACAACATTCCAACATTACAACTATACAACATTACAGTTATACAACATTACAATTATACAACATTACAACTATACAACATTACAACTATACAACATTACAATTATACAACGTTACAATTATACAACTACACAACTATACAACTATACAACATCACAACATTACAACATTACAACATTACAACATTACAACATTACAACATTACAACTATACAACATTACAACTATACAACATTACAACTATACAACATAACAATTATACAACATTACAATTATACAACTACACAACTGTACAACTATACAACATTACAATATTACAACTATACAACATTACAACTACACAACATTACAACTATACAACATTACAACTATACAACTATACCCTTTTTTTCGGCCATGTAAATTTTTTATTCATGTATTTTGTAACTGTTAATATTCTTTAACGACAAATTATGTAATTAAAAAAAAAATCAGTAAAAAAATAAAATGTTCTACAATGTAATTTAAAAGCATGAATAAAATAGATTTTAGTAAAATTAATATTTAACCAAATTTTTTTTGTGTGTGTTCTCGCATAAGATTGCAGTTGTCGGCAACCTTAATTCTTAATATTAAAATGAGTTATAATATTAGTTCTTAATATTAGTTAGCAAGGCCGATGACGTGGAGAATCTTTTTTTGAAGTGAACAGGGGGATGAGGAGGCACAATCGTCAATATTTAGAAAAAGTGGTGGGAGGGAAGGAACGTGCCCATATTCCATTTCCCGTATTGTCAATCCTGGTTAGTAAACACTATGAACTATTAAAAATATAGAATATCAAAATTTAAAAAAATATATAATGTCCGGAATAGTGTGACGCCGCGAATCTACTACAGGTAGGTGGATGGGGTAATTAGGCTGCTGATTATTTTTTTTATTTTATTTTTTCTTTCTGTTGCTTAATGTTATGACAACGGAGCACACATTGTAACTTTATATTTTAACGGTTTTTTTATTCCTTGATTTTGTTTTACATGGCCGATGATTGCCTTTAGGCATGAAACTATTATTACCATAAAATGTTGTAAATTGTCTCAGATTACAGTCAATACTTTATCAGACCTATTGTTCCAGATACGTCGTTACATTCGAAGATAATTTTTCAGAAAACTTAGGTCTTTATTAGATATTAAAAAATGGAAAGCAACTGAACTTAGACTTTTTCTTATATACACTTGGCCAGTTGTTTTAAAGGGGTTGATTGAGCCAAAAATTTATTCAAATTTTTTAGATCTTTCAGTTGCAGTTCTGATTTTATTATGTCTTATTTTTATGAAAAAATATCTTGATTTTGCGTGTCAGTTACTACCTTTTTTTGTGCAATCATTTGGTAAAATTTTTAGTAAGGATCAACTAGTTTACAATTTTTTAATACATATAGGAGATGATTCAATTAAATTTGAAGTACTTGATAGATGTCCCTCATTTAAATATGGTTTTTTTTTGTCAATTAAAAAGGTTGTTCAAAGGGTTGCTTAATAAACATGTACAAGGAGATAAGAAGAAATTTAGTATTTTTTGCATTGAGACACTGTTTATAGTTTAAAAATTATCAAGGTTTAGAGTGTTTTGCTAATGAAGGTGATAATTGTTTTGAAATTGTAAAAAAAAAAATGTTTTAGTTCAAAATTTAGGGGTTCTTTTGCAATTGTAATTAGTTTTTTTTTTTAATTTACTAACATCTATTGGAAAAATATTTAAGATTTTTGGGGCCTTCATGACAAGTTTTATTTTGGCAGGGGCGGGGGGGGGGGGGTGAGGCTCGAATCCAGTAGACACGACACTGTATGTAAGCTTTCTGATGAGTCCTAATTGATGGAACCTCAGTGTAAAATGAAAAATTTTGATTAGTGATTTTCTCCTGATTTATTACCGCTCTGTTCATTTAAGAATATTGAGCATTCTTTTTTAAAGAATATATATATATATATATATATACATATATATATATATATATATATATATATATATATATATATTATATATATATATATATATATATATATATATGGGTCATTTTCCTAAAATTAACATTTTCAATAAATATTTTTATAAAATTTAAATATTAAAATCTTTGAACCAAATTTTTTGCTGTTATAGCTTTGAGTATATTTAATCATTTGTAAGTATCCGCACAACTCGTTAAAAGTCAATTTACAAAAAAAGTTTAAATTTTTTTAGCGTAATCTACAGACGTGACAAATTTACCACAGTCGTGACATTATGAATAGTATTGCTTTATTCTGTAACAGCTATAAGTGTCTGTTAGGTAACTTACAAAAAGAATAACCGTCTTTAAATAGTTTACATAAAGTAGTACAACAGTTTTTAATAGTTGACATAAAGTAGTACATGGTACAAGTTTTACAAAATTTAAAGTATTATTAGTAAGTAAATTAGAAAATGTTTTTAAATGGTAAGTCTTGT